AGTAATAACATTATAGAAGAAGAGAAAAACCCAAACATAACCAAGAACAAAACCAAACCAAACCAAACCGATTTTGAGTCTTACCCTAAACTCCACCTCTAGTAACAATGAATTATTCACTCACTCTATATATAATAACCATAGAGGTTATCTATGCCACACACACACCTCTCACTTCAGAAAATGGAGAACTCTTTGTCAAGTCACAGAGTTGTGCTTCTACTGTTATTTTCATTGGTCTTATTTCTTAACACGGAGCTGAGCTTTATTGCATCTGCAAGAGCCACAGACAATAACAGCAAGGTATATGTAATGCAAGTCTCTGTTTTCAAAATCTGTAAGAGTTTACTGATGTTTTTTTTTGATAAATAGGTTTATATAGTTTACCTTGGAGAAAGAGAACACGATGATCCTGAACTTGTCACAGCTTCTCATCACGAAATGCTTGAATCTCTGCATGAAAGGTACTTACTTTGATCATCTCCAAAAGTCCACGTCTCTATAGAGAATCATACACACATTTTACATTTACATCATCAAATTTTGATAAGTTGATAATTATCTTTCATTCCTTCCTTGCTACCCAAGAAACTCGTCTTGCCTTACTCTGTTTTCTTATATACAGCAAAGAAGACGCACATAACTCAATGATCTACAGCTATAAACATGGATTCTCTGGTTTTGCCGCACTTCTTACATCTTCACAAGCAAAGAAAATCTCAGGTACTCAAACAACACTCACATCTAAGAAAAAAACGTTATATCTTTGACCTTTGAACAGGAACTTGTGATCACATCAACATCTTACAGTAATCTTAACCGGATTCTTGTATATAAACACAGAACATCCATCAGTAATCCATGTGATACCGAACCGGATTCTAAAACTGAAAACCACAAGAACTTGGGATCTCCTTGGCCTCTCTCAAGTTCCAACTTCTTTTTCCTCTTCATCACCTGTGAAAGGTCTTCTCAGTGACACCAACATGGGCAGTGAAGCTATCATTGGCCTCTTGGATACAGGTCTCTCTCTACACTTTCTTCTCTCTATGCATATGATGTCTCCTTCTCTCACATCATGTATGTGTATACACAGGAATATGGCCAGAGTCAGAGGTGTTCAACGATCAAGGCTTTGGACCAATACCTAAACGTTGGAGAGGAAAATGCAAATCAGGAAAAGACTTTAACGCCACAATTCATTGCAACAAGAAGCTTATAGGAGCTAAGTACTACCTAAAGGGCATGATGGCCGAGCTAGGAAATCTCTCATACATCATAAAAAACGATTTCAAATCCAACAGAGATGCAGAGGGTCACGGCACCCATACAGCCACAATAGCTGCTGGATCCTTCGTTTCAAATGCGAGCTTCTATGGTCTAGCCCTAGGTAAATGATATATATACCTAAACCCTAGCTTGAGAGTCAAGGTACCTTATGTTTTGTTTCCTTGTCTCAGGTACGGTCCGAGGTGGTGCTCCTCGGGCACGTGTAGCTTCGTACAAGGTGTGCTGGATCATAGTGGGATGCTCAAGCGCTGATATGTGGAAGGCTTATGATGATGCTATACATGATGGTGTTGATGTTTTGTCGGTTTCTATTGGAGGGCGTGTTCCTGAGGGTTCTGAGGTCGATCAACTCGTTTATGTTGCGGCTTTTCATGCGGTGGCTAAAGGGATTCCGGTTGTGGCTGCGGCGGGAAACGACGGTCCTGGTGCTCAGAGGGTTGTGAATGTTGCTCCTTGGTTCTTGACCGTTGCTGCAACTACTCTTGACCGGTCTTTTCCTACAAAGATCACTCTTGGCAATAATCAAACCTTCTATGTAAGTTTTAAATACCTATTCCCAAAAAGATGTTATATTAGAAAAACACATATTAAATTTGATTAGTAGTACATTATTTTTTTGATTGTGATTAGTAGTACATGATTCTAAACAAAAAAAAAGTGAACATAAAAAATCATTATTTGTTTGTAACTAAATATTTCCAACAATATTTTTTTTTAACGTCTGCATTGCATTAAACTGGTGAAATGAAAGTGTTTAGAAACAACCAGCAGAAAAAAAAAAGAAAAAGCACTCAACCTAACAATATAGATCTATGAGTGATACAATCCAACAACATTTTATCAATAGAATTATTTTTAAATAACACTGTTATCTTTCTTGAAATTTACAGTTTAGTCATTAAATAATGCATTGAAAAGATAAAAATATATATATTTTTGGAACAACTTTTTTGGTAAAACATATATGGAGAGACAAAAGCTCAAAGTTTCATCTTCTTTTATTACCAAAGTCCAGAACTTAACTTGTTGTTGTCTTGTTGCATAACTAGGCTGAATCTTTGTACACTGGACCGGATATTACAACCGGTTTAGTATTCTTGGAGCCAGGCAGTGACTATACAACTGATGTGAAGGGGAAAACAGTTCTGTGTTTCGATAAACCCGTTTTAAAGGAAGGTGAAGCAGCAGTCATTTTAGCTCAAAACGTTCCTGATGAAATTTATCCGTACATTTTTACAAGTTATGAGCATGGAGCCGACATTTTACAATACATCCTCACAACTAGGTCCTCTTATCTCCAACCATATATATATAAACTCTGTTTATTAAGTCAAGTCTCACTTTCTTACACTACATTAATGATGTCAAAACTACAGATCACCCACGGTTAGAATAAGTGCGGCAACAACATTAACTGGTCCCCCTGCAGCTGCAAAGGTTGCTGTGTTCTCATCTAGAGGTCCTAACTCTGTTTCGCCAGCCATTCTCAAGGTTATAAACTAAAGTCATTATGTTTCTAGTCCATGTTTAAACTTTTTTGATACATAACTGATCACATTTTATACTACGTAGCCTGATATAGCAGCTCCTGGTGTGAAGATACTCGCGGCGCTAAGTCCTTATGATCCTCACGAGCACAAAGGATTTGGACTGCTTTCAGGGACATCTATGTCTACTCCTGCTGTTTCCGGAATCGTAGCTCTCCTAAAATGTCTACACCCTGATTGGTCTCCTGCTGCTATTAGATCAGCTTTGGTCACAACAGGTTCTTCTTCTTCATCATCATCCTCTTCTTCTTATTGTGTCACACTAATCGTTTTCTATTTGAAGCTTGGAGGACAAGTAAGTCTGGAGAACCTATCTTGGCTGAAGGATCAAACAATAAGATAGCAGATCCATTTGACTATGGAGGAGGTCTTGTAAACCCTGAAAAGGCTTCAGACCCTGGACTTGTCTACGATATGGAGATCAAAGATTACATCAGTTACATGTGTTCAGCTGGTTACAACGACACATCTATCTCTCGTGTCCTCGGTAAAAAGACTATTTGTCCATCTCCTGAGGCATCGATTCTTGATATCAACTTACCTTCAATCACAATCCCAAATCTTGATCAAGAAGTCACACTCACAAGAACTGTAACCAATGTTGGACCGAACTATTCAGTCTATAAAGCTGTGATTGAGCCTCCTCTCGGTATTAGTCTCAGTGTCTACCCGTCCACACTCGTGTTTGGCTCTGGAGAGGTGCACTCTTTCGTGGTGACGGTTAAAACGAGTCATAAGGTCAACACTGGTTACTTTTTTGGAAGCTTAACTTGGACTGATGGTGTTCATGATGTTAGAATCCCTGTTTCTGTTCAGACAACGATCATGACCAAGACTTGAGAGTACATAAACTCAAATCTCTCTATTCAAAAGTGTGTAATCAAGATCATAATAATAATAAAGATCAAATAATATTGAAGAAAAAAACGTAAAGTTTCCTCCTAATTATGAACAACTTACTAAAATTCAAATAGTGACAAAACGATACTCATGATCATCAACTATAAGCTACAACAAAAACATAGAAATACATAATCATTGTAATGCCTATATGTATTATAAATATGTGATATTTATTAACAATATAAGCGGTACACTTTCTTCTAACAATCCATGGTGGAATATCTAACAGATGAGGATACATGAGGAGAAGTTTGCAATTGTCGCAGTTCACCTGACCAACCTGGTGAAATGTAAACAGAGAATGACGTTATATATTACTGGAGTTGAGGCTGAGTAAATCTTAAGCTTATAAGAAGAATTTAGCTGATAAAAATTCATCCAGGAGTATTAAAGAGTAAAGAACTAATGATCACGGAAGTGATCTAAAAGGGACCAAATAGTTGATAAGCTTAAGAGAGGAATCCAAGCAAAATATGATTCTTGTTTCAGCTAAGAAACCATTATTATTTGTATGAATCTAGAAACCAAGGTGAGGAAACTTTACATAAGAGATGAGAATTGATTTGAGCAGTAATGTTGACGAAGTTTACCAGGTTGTTCTGAACGTTTACTTTACTGGGTGACTTGTTTAAAATTAATAAATAAATCATTCATAATCCATCAAACATTTATTTATGTATTTATCTCTACTTACATCAACCGAACAAGCAAATTAAATGTGAACTATAATCTTTTCAAAATTTCCAATGGATGTTAAAATATATGTTAGAATATGATGTTCTTTCCACATTAGTGTGAATGTGGAATTAAAACTTCATATAATTACAGAAAAAGCCTATATAAACTACCATGCATCTTTTCTATGAATGAATAAAATTTCTCGAATTCTTTTTCGAGCTTTAGTTTCAGTTTACTCACCGGTTTATTACCTTGTGGAGTAGTCTGTACGGGGCCTGAAGGTGTAATCAAAACTGCTTCAGTTTTTTTAGTTGGTGAAGACTGTCTCTCAACGTCACTTGTAACTATCTCTCAGCTGTACGATTTTGTCGTGAAAGCTTTTTGGGCGCATTCAAACATTGTCTCGAATTCGCTGTCATCTTCCGATTGAAGACTTATCTCGTTTAACTTATTTATATGTTGCATTTTATGCTTGTGTACAAAAAGGATGGATAATTCCCTCTTTCTATTGTATGGAAGAAGATTAAGTTTTTAATGAAAGTAAGTTTGTGTTTAAAAAAAAATTACAGAAAAAAGCTAGTGTCATAATGCAGAACACAAACTTTGGAAATAACAAACAGAACCAACGCCATTGGTAGCTCTATATAGTAACTCATAAGATTTGGTATGGAGATCATGTACTAGCAGTGGGTGATGGCTTCCACGAACACGAAGTAATAACTTGGTCTTATCCAAAACTGCTATTGCTAAGAGTGCGCATTTCCCGGACCAATCAAAAGTGTTTGTAAGATCTATCGAACACATTTTCTTCCAAGTCTTGATGTTGCCGCCTGAAGAATCCAACGACCATATATCTTGGTTGGGCCAGTTACTTTTGGATACACACAAGCAGTTATCGAGGATGCATATGCTGACCCTGTAAAGATTTACATGGGAAAAGGGAGCTTTACAGATGACTTGGAAAGTTTCGGTGTGAAGATCGAAAGATAATACTTTGGTTTCTTCACACTGAGTTAACCAATAAAGTGACCCATCTAAGTACACTGGATCATTCTCGGCAATTATCCGATAAGGAGAAGCAGGGTGAACGTACCTCCAAACGTTAGTGCTAAAATCAAAAACCTCACAAGTAGTAATGTTGTCTAGGCCAAGTTCAGATGAATTATATAAAAAAACCGGCTTGTACGTACCCCTAAGTTTATCTTTACCGAACCCAAGCTTATTATATGAGAAGGCAAAAATTTTTTTAATAATCCTGTCGACGAGGAGATTTTGAATTCTGGCACGAGGTAAACTTTGATGCCACCTAGTGGCGGGATTCGCCACCACAACACTGACACTCGGGTCGTAGTAATTGTAGAAGCATACTAGACCGTCACAAATACAAGGGCAAACCGAGTTGCACAAAGTAGGGAAACAGACCGTATAGACCACTGATGACCCAACCACAAGTCTTCTAGCATCTGTCTTAAGACCATGATCATCAAAGTGCACGAAAAGGATATCTGGATCTCGTGCTTGGCTACTATGGATCAACTGCCTCTCCTGGAAACGTCGTGTCTCGATTGTGAGTTTCCACGTCTTTGATACAGACTTTAATCTCAGTAGTGACTTGACAGGAAGTCTCTCTAGTATGAGCTCTACAACATCGTGCGGTAGCAATTCTACACTCGAGCTGTTTCTTTTCAACATTGTATCTCGTCTCTGATTGATCAAGAGAGACATATAATGTTCATAAGGTGAACTTTTCAATATTCTATAAATATAAATAAACGAGCTGCGCATCCTGCTTAACCTAGGAATTTGAATAAAAGGAAAATTTCAAGTCAGTTTATTTCTATTTGTAAAAACTAAAAAGGAAACTCCATCACTTTCCTTTTTTTGTTATGGCTTTATCGACATTAATTAACTTTATACAAAAAATACATTTTTTAGAACAAAATGTTTTTTAAAATAAGCAATATCCGGACCAGGATAAATAAATTTATCAAGTTTTGACGTGTGGAACGATTTTCAAGTGTCTACATTTTTAAATTACAACATAGACTCACTAGTCAAATATTCAATTTGCAAATCAGCGTAGACTCTAGCTTACTTAAATTAATAAAATGAATTTGAATTATTCAATGTTCACATGATCATTTTGTATCCATCAAATGGATAGTGGTAACAAGAACATGCACTAAACTATATTGGATTGTGGTTGTTGCTTGTAGTGCAAGTTTCGTTTGTTCATTCTTACAGTTTTCTTTTTGGTATAGTGGAAGTTCTGTAATTTAGGTTCATAATTTCTCCTAGGTCCAAAGTCAACTTTTAAATATTCCAATTTAAAGAATAACCCTCCGTATCAAAGATGGTTTGTACTCGGGGCATACATAATTAAAAGAACCAGCCCTCTTGTACTACTACCACTAGGCCAAACACTTTGGTTCCATGCTTAGAGTTGTGTAAAAAGGTTGCAACTCTATAAACTTGGTTTATAGCTTGAAAGTTGGACAAAATAACAATGTTTGTAAGTTGGGAGGACACACGATGATAACGTGTGGTTCTCCATGAAACTTTTTTTTTAGTTTCATGCTCCAGCCAGCTTTGTTTTTGCAGAAAAGATACGGTTAAGAATTGCGGCCAAGCGAATCCCACCTTGTGCAAGTCTCGTCTCTACAATTGGTAACCGAGAGAGAAAATACTCATCTGCAGAAAGAAAATGTGTTGAGAAAGTCTTGTTTCAGGGTGAATACACTGATCATTGAATGCTCAGAGAGTAGTATAATTATACCTCCTAAAGTGGTTCCTGGTGTAGCATTCTTATAAGCATACTTGCAGGCAAGATCTATACTCTCAGATGCATACCTTGAACACATCAAATAAAAGACAGAATCAACAATGGTATTAGGAACTTTTAAAGACTTTCTTTCTCCTCTTTCCAGTCACAAAAGACAATATTCATTTAAGGATCAGTTGCTTACTGATTTGGACAAGCTGTTTGGTTCTGTTGACATGATTCCCACGATGGAACATCATTTGACCAGCCATTCTATATGAAGACAATCAGTTTAAAAGCAAATGATCACGTGTCCAAATAAGGTTGCCAATGTGCTGAAGTTGGATAAAGAAATAAGATGGTACTGTGAGTTTGGCTTGAAGGGATTGGATCATGACTGGAAGACTTGAGTTGTAATATGTTTTGAGAGCAGATTCAATAATCATGTCATCCCATACCTTCATGTTAAACACAGTTCCAGTTCCAAGTCAGGAAAGATACTTGTTAGCATCAATATGACTGAGAAAAACATAACACTTACATTGTGTAAATTTGTTTTGTGATTGTACCAGTGTACTATTATTGTGTTACCACCTAGATCTCCACTAAAACCAGTATGCAAAGGCTGTGGAAAAAAACAAAATTGAAATCCAACAATAGATATTAGCTAATACCCAGTGTTGTTATACACTATAATAGCAGTTGGTTCATATATAACAACAAACTCTGAACATCACTCGGTTTCTAATATGATTCATTTGAATTTTGAAAAATGCATTTAATTAACCTGATGGACATCTCCCATATAATGTGATAAGAACATGAGAGCCTCTGTCAAGTTATCTGCAAACGAGAACAAAAAGAAGAGAAAAGAGTCAGTAGTCATATATGCACCATGTAACGTATATCACATATTAGTAACTGATACATTACTAAAATGTTACTGACATTGGACCAAAGTCTGTGAGTTTACAGAAGAAGACATAAGTTGCCTTGTGTAATTGAAGATTGCTCCTGTCACACACCAGTGTTTATGCATATGACTGTCGTGGCAGTCCCCTTCACAGAAGATTAAAGGACATAGATTTTAACTTAGCACATAACAGAGTTAAAGCAAATGCACAGAAAGATTTTGAAGCAGAGAGGGAAAGATATATAAATAAACGCACGACAATACTCATAGTTGCATCTGTATTCAGGTGTGTTAACATAGTGCATAGCGCTAGTCCATTTCCATTGCGAGAGGTGTTTAATTTCATCAGGCCATGAGCAAAAAGATGCTAGATCTCCTCCTTCTCCTTGAGCAGATTCAGGGAGCAGTTTCTTCACTGCAGCTATAGTTTCTTCCTCAAAGTATCCCTGACGATTTTTCAAATGGAACAAAAAAAAAATGCTAAACTCAGTCTAAGCAAAGAACCAATCCACATTGAAACTAAAGAAAAAAGAATAAACTCCTAAACTGATTAACATTCTCAAGCATCGCAATAACCAACAGAGTAAATCCCTTTAAAATCTATGGTTACATAAACTAGTTAAGCAAAAGTTGACCTCAGCTATTTTGCAGACAGTGTAATGACCATCCTTCCCCCAACATAGAGCTCCATGTACAAGCTGTGTAAGCACGATTACACTCCCAAGCCACTGTCTCAACGACAACCTCATTCCGAATATAACTTTTCAGTTTCTTAACAAGAATATACAAAAGAATAGATCTTTGATGCTCTCTGATTTGATTCAGATTGCTGTGCTCTTTCTCTCTCAATTCTTACATTGGGTTGCGTGTGATCTATAGATTAAAAAAAAAAAAAGAAACTAAAAATACTTCAACACGTGCTTCCCACGTTTTGATTTGTTTAATGAAAAATCGTAAAACTGACAGACAGTTGAATCCACTACCCACGCACATGCCTAAGTCTGCATTGCATTCCCAAAGATCCTTCCTTTCTTCACAGTTTCTACTATCTTTCATGAGTAATAAAAAAAAAAAAATAAGAAATGGAGGGAGGAGGGAGGGAGGTTCCAGTTTCAAATATGAATCGTACGTACAATCTAATGATGACTCAGGTTGTTTAATGGCGGGAAGTTGTGTCGTCTTAAGGCTCTAGAAGGGCTCCGTATTTTGTTTTGGGCTACGGCCCATATCCAATAAGAAACTGTGAAGGTAATTTAGTAGTTTCATGTAGTGTCATTAATCATTTTAGAAATTTTTATGCCTAATCTAATGGTAAAAAGAAGATACCAGCTTTAGTTGGATCGCATGTGTTGCTCCTTTCACAATGTGATGAGAATCCAAGTAATAATAGTATTCTCAATTCAAAGGACAATCTTAAAATTCCATTTTATCCGAGAAAATTGATATTCTTGGCAATTTTTTTTTTTTTGAAAATAGAGTATAAAACACTATCAAGAATCTTTGTATTATAATTCTTGTTCTGCATCAACCACAATATTATGATTCTAATCCTAAGAAACATGCGACACGTAGATTATTATGTTGGAGCTGCCTTTGGACTATGGAATAGTGATGCTACGAATATTAAATATTCACAACATACGGTTGTGGTCAAAATTCCATTCGTTTTCTTGCGCAATTGTGTGCACTTAAAGTCTAAAAACCATACGCTTAATAGAAAAAAAAACTATAACTTCAATTAAATTAGTCCACACATTTCCCTCTAAGTGTTCCTATAAATACCTTCTACATTACGAGTAAGAGCTAGGATATGACACGATAGATTAAGAAGAGAAGTAAAGAAATAAAAAAGAAGATGATCATGATGATTAGTAGAGTCTCTCGGCATATCAGAGGGTATTGCATGGAAAAGAATAGAGAATGATGTTGAGCCAAGGATGACTTGCCTATTTTTACCAACGAATCTAAAAAAATTGATTCTGGTGTTCGGCAAGTTGGCCTTGGCTCTCTTTCCTTCTCTTCTTTTTGATGTCAGACTCCAGATATACATCTATCCTCTATATGATCATCATCATCATCATCGTTGTTGTGAATCACAACTTGTGATCAAGGTTTGTGATTTCATTCAAAGATGGAGTTTTGTACAAGTTACTTGATGCATGCTAGTAGCATTTGCTTTCTAATGTTCTACATGTGAATGTCATATATTACTAAATCCAAAAAAAAAAGTGTGATATTGTCGTTAACCATTTAATTAATAGATTAGATTTGAGAAATGAAATCAGCAAGAACATAGAGAGATCATTCACACTATTAAGTGCCTGAGATTGTCACAATCTTCAGTTTGAAACACATTGAAAATATGGTGGTGTGCGATATGTTTGATAATAAAATGACAATTTCGGCTACTACTTATTCGATTAAAACTAACAACAGTAGCCATCGCATATACTTAACTAGCAGCAGATATCTAAGGAGCTAATAGAGTGACTACATACCAGGTATCTTTTTATACTTAGTTTCATGCTACTGCAAGCTTCGCTTTTGAAGAAAAGATCCGGTTAAGAGTGGCCGCCAAGCGAATCCCACCTTGTGCAAGTCTCTTCTCCACAATGGGTAACCGAGAGAGAAAATAGTCATCTGAAGAACAAACGTGAGAGAAAGTTGAAGATCACATAACAAGTGTATAACTGAGATGATGAACATGTGTGGGTAAGATCTTTGTTTCAGAGTGGATAAACTTCAAGCTTTAAAATTCAGTGCTGAGTAAGTATTACCTCCTAAAGTAGTCCCTGGGGTAGCGTTTCTGTAAGCATACTTGCAGGCCAGACTTATGCTTTCAGATGCATACCTGAACACATCCACAACCTTACTGTATTACTAGGAGAGAAAAACAAGCTAATAACGAGATGTCTCTGCTGATCTAAGACTAGAGCTTACGAATTTGGACATGCCGTTTGGTTAAGTTGACATGATTCCCACGACGGAACATCGTTTGACCAGCCATGCTATATTCAGGCAGCAGATCATCAATGAGAGTTGCTTAGTTATACCCTACTTTCACTAGAACTCCAATAAAGAAAGTAACATCTACCGTAAGATTGGCTTGAAGTGCTTGAATCATGAGTGGGAGACTTTTATTGTAGTATGTTTTAAGAGCAGACTCAATTATCATATTATCCCAAACCTTCAATCATTCAAAAAGATCATAAGAACACATTTTATTCACCTAGTTACTTTCTATTTGGAAATGGAGCATCAATATGTTTGAAAAACAGAACACTTACATGATGCAAATTTGTTTTGCGACGGTACCAGCGGACTGTTATGGTATTTCCACCTTCATCTCCCAGGAAACCAACATGCAAAGGCTGTGTAAATTTCACAACATACAACTCAAAACAGAACTTTGTTTTGGTAGCGATTCATTTGAAATAACAACAAAAAGGACTCTACCTGGTGAACATCTCCAATATAATGTGATAAGAACATGAGAGCCTCTGTCAAGTTATCTGCAAACAAAAAAAAACTAGAGTCAGAACTCAAAACCGAAGCATAGTATTAAAATTCACTATCATCTCACTCACAATGGACTATCCTCCGGGAGTTTACAGAAGCAGACATAAGTTGCGTCGTGTAATTAAAAATAGCTCCAGTCACACACCGGTCTTGATGCTTATGACTATCATGACAATCCCCTTCACAACACATAATAGATTAGACTCTGAACAATAAACAGAGGTTTATAAAAAAAGATTAGTTAGATTAAACTGACGACAATACTCATAGTTGCATCTGTAATCAGGAGCGTCAACATAGTGTAAAGGACTAGTCCAACGCCATTGCCAATGGTGTTTAATCTCATCAGGCCATGAACAAACAGATGCTAACTCTCCTTGTGCTGATTCAGGTAAGAGTTTCTTCACTGCAGCTACAGTTTCTTCCTCAAAGTAGCTCTAATGATATGAAAAAAAATTGTCTTTATTAGAGACCAACAAAAAGTATTCTTAGCAGAAACATCTCTGAGCCTATAAAGGGTATAGCTTTAAGGCAAGACATTACCTCAGCTATTTTGCAGACGGTGTAGTGACCTTCTTTGCCCCAGCTCAAAGCTCCATGGATGAGCTGAGTAAGCACGAGTACTCTCGCTAACCACAGTTGCAGCGACGAATTCATAGTGAAAGAGCTGCAAAGTTTCGATTTTTATGGTAATTAAAGACTTTTTGTTGCTCGATTTTGCAGAATTAGAAACTGGGTTTCATCTTAGAGACCGATTCAAGAACGAGAAGTCAAAGTACCTTCACAAAGTTCTGATCTTGCTCTTCTAAAATCGATTTTAGTTGCTCAGCTCATTGAATGTATATATACAGTGAAATTTTCAGATATTTGTGTTTTTTTTTTTTTCTTTGGAGCAAATATTTGATCATTTGTTTAGTTTTACAAATTTTAATCCGAAAATTATCGTTTCTTGCAGACAACATTATATATCAGTTGAATATAAGGAAGTAAACAGAATACTTTAGTGTAGACAACTTATTGATATATATGTTCCATAGTTACATTACATAGTCCCAAAACACTGAGATACATAAAGCCAATGAACAAGCTCTTCTCGTACATCAATGAACACAATCCACCAGAGTTACCATACTTTATTATTTTCCACTGTGATTTGTGTCTCTGAACATTTTCTTTCTTCTCCCTTTGCAAGAGAATCAAGTAACAAGCATGATCTTACCAATATGGTTACTACTCTCCATAAGGCTATGAGCTTCTGCTGCTTGCGACAGTGGTAAGTACTTGTAAATCACTGGTTTTACCTTCCCTGCTTCTATCGCTGGCCAAACAATCTTCTCAACTTCCTCAACAACAACCGCTTTGTTCTCCTTGCTTCTTGGTCTTAACGCAGCTCCTGTAGGAACAAAACGGAACAAGATTTTTCAATACGGTCTGAACTTTGATTTTGAGGTATGATTGATTTGATTGTGTGTGTTAAAAGTACCTAAGACAGTGAGACGCTTTGGAAGCAGACTACTTAGTTTTATCTCTGCATTAGCTCCTCCCATTAAACCTATAATACATAACCTTCCATCGAAGTTCAAGCTGTCTAGGTTTTTCTGTAAATACGGCGCTCCAATGCAGTCCAAGATAACATCCACACCTTTCCCATCTGTTTCTGCTTTTACCTTTGCCACAAAGTCCTCGGTTTTGTAATTTATACAAACATCAGCACCGAGTTCTTTGCAAGCCGCTAGCTTTTCTTCATTTCCTGTTAGTCAAAAACGAAAAGTTAGAACAGTGTCAACGAATAAGAACATAGAGGTTGTTCATTAACTGAAGCGTTAGACCAAACCTGCTGTGACCAATACTCTGACTCCTAGATGTTTAGCCATCTGAATTGCAAATGTCCCAATCCCACTAGAACCTCCATGAACCTGAAAATCTCAGCAACTACCACACCATTAGCAAGAACACAAAATGCACAGGAGAGATACAAACATAAACTGAAAGTAATTCATAATCCGCAGAATCAATCATGCACATTATAAATCATAACAGAAGAATCAATTTTAATGGAGCAACCACAAAATGAAATAAAGGAAATTACACAACTTCTCAGATTGCCATGAGCAGTATAGCAACAGGATGAAGAGAAATACCAAGAAGGATTCACCAGGGGAGAGACGGCCCATCATGAAGACAGTTGACCAAACAGTGCATGCTACTTCAGGGAAAGCAGCTGCATCTTTTAGAGAGATGCCAGCAGGGATTGGAAGGATTTGTCCAACGGGTACAGTCACTTTCTCCGCATAACCTCCTCCAGAAAGAAGAGCACACACCTGCAACAGAGAGAGAGTAACAAAGTTTAAAACTTTATTGAAAGCCTAAATAGAGAAAATGAAAGCAACTTAACACAAACTGTAATAAGCATTCAACAGATGAACACTAATTGCAACCAGAAACCTTCCTAAGTGTAGTTCAAATGTGTGTCAGTGATTCTGAATCCCACGTAACTAAAAACACGAGTTGGAGTACTGATAAGCATACTGACACCAATCTTAACTCAAGCTCACAGATTCCATGGAACTTAACACCAACCTTAAAAATCCCAAGAAAAAAAAAAAGGAATCAAAGATGTGATATTTTCTTAATCTTTACCTGGTCTCCGACCTTCCAGCGAGAGACCGACTTGCCTACAGATTCAATAGTACCGGAACACTCGAGACCAGGGTAAGGGCTAGAGCCAGGTGGTGGAGAGTAAGAGCCAAGTCTCTGGAGAGTATCGGCTCGATTCAGAGCAGTGGCTTCAACTCTGATGAGAACTTCATCGTCTTTCACTTGTGGGGGGTCTTCCACTTCTCGGAGTTGCAGAACCTCCGGCGCTCCTGGCTCCGTGATCACTATCGCCTTCATTGTTTTCTCTCTCTCTCTCTGTAGCTTACGTATCAAAACCTTCTTCTTCTCTCTTTTTCTTCTTCTCTCTTTCTTTTATTCGTATTATTAAAAAGACAGATGGATCGAGCAAACACAAGTCAAAAGTGTTGACCAAACTTTTTAACGGTTCTTGTTTCAGTAAAAGTAATTAAAATTTTGGGTTTGATCGGGAACAGTTTTACGCAAATCAGTTACTTATCAAAAGTATCAACTTAAATAAAATGCATCAAGACAGAGAAAGAAAAAAGAGAAATTTTGTTTGCTCACAAATAATGAGTAACACAATTAGGAAATGAACTTGATAACAAAAAAGAAAGCAACAAAATAACTAAGCCAAGAGATCGACAAAAGATAGATTAGCCATAACAACAAACCAGCACCTGTTTCTCAGTCGTCGAGGTTAGCTAACATATCGTACTTGTTCTTCAGGAGGCTTGTCGACTGCTTTTTAATCACAGATGGAGCTGATCTGCGCTTTGGTGGTTTCGGCCTAACATTAATGACATTTAGGCGTGGGCTTGACTTTAGGCACCTTGCATCGTTAACATTAAGATCCTCCACAAGCAGGGCCGGGGTCTAAAATTTTTTTTTGGGGCCTATGCTCATATAATTTTCTACAAAATTTTTGGGGGCCTGAGACAAATGTTTCATTAGGCATTGTCCAGGGCCGGCCCTGTCCACAAGGTCTACATAAGCGCAAACTCTATGATCATCATTCTCCAAACCTCCGATTTCAACTCTTTCAAGACTGTTGCTTTCGAGACTGAAGTAGACAATATAAAACGGTCGACTTGTAAAATTCCCAAAGAAAACAATTTCACCTCTATCAGTCACTCCAGCGATGGAATATTCCATGGAATCAATGATCTTATTATCCGGCAAAGTGTAGACATATTTAGACCATTCTTGTTTCTCCACATCCTCTAGAACCGATATACTCAACTCATACTTGCCTTTCCAAGTAATCACACCAACTTTTCCCTTATAATTTACTAATTTAACGTAACAACTCTCATCCCATTCTACACCAACAGACTTGAATTTCTCAGACCTAACATCAAAGCAAACTATCTGCACATCAGACGGCGAAAAAGAACTTCTCTTAGATGAGAAAAAATACAAAACTCCCTTGATGCATATCCCTTCATTTTTCATAACCAGAGGAAAAGCCATGATATTTTGGATAAATCATCTCTTCGGGGAACTTCATATGAAAATGTGGGTCGGCTACTAGAGGAGGAGGCGACGACGCCTTGTCATGATGACGACGATGAAGCAAAGAGTAGAAGCTCCATGTATCTTGTTGTCTAAGGGCTAATAAGAGACGTGGACGAGCCCTTGACCTAGTCAAGAACAACTCGGTGAAATGTAGACGGTGGAGTATGGATTCCCATAGCTTCGAAAGACAACGAAACCTTGCTACTGACTCTACAGGTAATCTCGAGAATATTTCAATAATGAGATCATTAGGAATGGTAACTAAATTTTCTTCTTCCGTACTCATGATGATGGAGTTGTTCAGTTTGTGAAGGGATCACGGAGAGAAATAGGATGCAAATGACACACAACTAGGGTTTCCGTAATAATTAAAAAAAAAAATATATATATATATATACTCCTGAATTTATATTTCATCACAGCCACAGAAATTACCCAAAATAAGGAACAGACTAGACTAAGTTCACGAGGGCATTGTTCAAGTGTGCTTCACCGCAAGTACTATATATATGGAGACATACACTCTTTCTTTTCTTAACTAAAAAAAAGGAATTGAATATTAACAAAAATTTTGGTTTATATCAGAGTGCACTATTTGGTATAGTTTGAAAAACTATAACTACATATTTCTAAAGTTTGTATTTCAAATACTATCTTACAGATACTATGTCCGTATGAGACAGTCAGCTCATGGAAGTGTCAAAATCATTTGTATCTCAAAAACTATCCCACAAAAACATGATGTATTCATTATTAAATAAAGAAGCTTTTGGTTTGAATATAATTTACATTACCTAAAAAAAGGTTAGCGAAAAACAAGAAGAAGCAAACCTTCCATTTTTTACAAGATTTGAGTGTTTATTAAGTTTTAAGTGAGTAAAAAGCATAACCCATATAATTAGTAAGTGAAAAAGTGTCTTTGGGTGTAAATCACTCATAAAATGTGTCCAAATAATAAAAATAATTATAAGAAAAACTCAAAATGTGTTTCTAGGTGTAAATCACTCTGTATATATAATTGGATCTTAATTTTATCTTTAGCTTAAGATGGATTATGCTGAGCTTCAAATTTAATCAGAACTGTAAATGATGTTGAAGTGGACTCTAATGGGCTTTTTTTCATCAAAATAGCTGTAGAAACCAGTTAATGGCCCACAGATACAAACCCTCAACTGTTTATATGGTCAGCGATGACGTAATCAATGAAGAAAATTCGAAATTTTAGTACCATCACTGTCATCAATCAATCAACTTTATGAAACAAAACCAAAAAAAAAAAATCAAAACTACCAAAGCGTTTCATATTTTAATCTAACTAAATCCAGAACCACCCTAAACTAACCAAACAAACGTTTAAAGCGTTTCATATTTTTATTAATCAAAACGAAAAATCCAAACAAACGTGTGAACGACTCGACTCACAGGTGAATTGATCTATGCCGACATGTTGACGTCGTGGTATTATTGTAATCCCATCACAACGTGGACCCACTTGCGACTCCATTAACAAGAGAGAGAGAGAGAGATCTGAATCTCTTCACCAGTCTCTGTTCTTTGCTTCTTCAGCTCTCCTTCTCTGGTTAGCTCTTATGTTTAGCTTTGATTTAGCTTCGAATTAGTAAATGGAATATAAGCAAAATATTGAAATGATGGGTGTGATTGGGGTTAGAGTGTTCAACTGTTTTGATTCTCATGTTTTTTAAAATCAATCAAAAAGTTTTGAGCTTTTTTTGTGTAATCAGCTAAGATATCTCCTTGCTCATTCTTCTTCTAATTCGAACTTAGCAGTCTTAGATTCTCATAAAATCATTGCCTTTTAATCTATACAAGTGATGTTAGGTCTGAGAATAGCTAAAGATTCAATTTTGATGCTGTTATGAAGATTCATATGTATGATTGATTACTGATAAGTATACTTGTGCAAAGTCTGTAGCTTTTGTGATGCTAAAGATTGTGTGTGAAAACTCTGATGAAGCAGGGTTTAGGGTTTAAGCATTTGCAGGGGGGAACAATGATGGACCTAACGAAGCTAAAGCCTCCACAGATCACGTTCTACTCCTCAGCGTTATCTGTCTTCATCACAGTTCTCTTGACGTTACAGCTTGTATCTCAGCATCTCTCTCACTGGAAGAACCCTAAGGAGCAAAAGGCTATACTCATCATTGTTCTTATGGCTCCTATCTACGCTGTTGTTTCCTTCGTTGGTTTGTTAGATGTCAAAGGAAGTGAAATATTTTTCTTGTTTCTAGAATCCATCAAGGAATGCTACGAAGCACTCGTGAGTCTTCTTTTTATATCTCTTTTCTTCAAGATAGTAATAGAGATACTTATCAGTTCTTGATTTGTGTTTGGCAGGTCATTGCCAAGTTCTTGGCATTGATGTATAGTTATTTGAACATATCTATTAGCAAAAACATTGTTCCTGATGGAATCAAAGGAAGAGAGATTCACCATTCTTTCCCTATGACTTTCTTCCAGCCTCATGTAGTTCGTCTGGATCATCGAACTCTGAGACTTTTGAAATACTGGACATGGCAATTTGTTGTTATTAGACCAGTGTGTTCGATCTTGATGATAGCTTTACAGATCATTGGGTTCTATCCTTCTTGGTTGAGCTGGACATTCACTATAGTTCTCAACCTCTCGGTTTCTCTGGCCTTGTATTCACTCGTGATCTTCTACCATGTGTTTGCTAAGGAGCTTGCTCCACATAATCCACTCGCAAAGTTCCTCTGCATCAAAGGGATTGTCTTCTTTTGCTTCTGGCAGGTAAATTAATGTTTATATATAATCAGTAAACCCCCTCAAAGGAAGTAATTTGGATTCAAAAATGTTCATTGAGATTCTTCTTGAGACTGCAGGGAATAGCACTAGACATTCTGGTGGCAATGGGAGTGATCAAGTCTCACCATTTCTGGTTGGAGGTAGAGCAAATCCAAGAAGCTATTCAGAATGTGTTGGTATGTTTAGAGATGGTTATCTTCGCTGCTGTTCAGAAGCATGCTTATCATGTTGGTCCTTATAGTGGGGAGACCAAGAAGAAACTTGATAAAAAGAATGAATGATCTTGTCTCCGGTTAGAACGTGAAATCGACTGGTTTTGGTTTAGGTGTTTCGGAGACTTGAAACTTTTGCTTGTCATGATTGGGATAAGAGACGATAAATAATGTTTTGAGATATCATTTAGACAATAATAATAAACCACTACATTCTACTCAAGTTTTGTTTGGCAAAACTGGCACATAACACTAATAAATCATGATTCTGGCAGAAGTTTAGCAGCAAAAACAAATAGATATCCAAATAGTATGATCTGATTAAAGATAATGATAAACCAACGACCAATGTCCAAACAATTCATATGTTTTCATCAGTGGAAGAACTTGCAGAAGCAAACATTTTGTTTTATTTTTCATGTTTCAGCTGTTTTGGTGACCAATCAAAGTCAATAAGCCACCAGTGTATGTTTAAAATTTGGAATTAATTTCTTTGTTAAAAATAAGAAAGAATCACTGGACTAATATACTTGCGAAAAAAATATTGAAAAAGTTTGGAATAATACAAAAACTAGAAAACAGGTTATATGCTCGAAACATTTACAGTATAATATTAATGATTATATTTTTCCACATAATCAAATGTTAAATATTTTTACATTTTAAAACAGTGTTTAAGTTTTGTATTTAGAAATTTAAAATCGAAAATATATTTTTTGTAGATAAAAGAACATTTTTATGTAATTTGTTTAAATCTAAAATATTTAATTGACTGATGGATAAAGTGAAATTTATTTATCAAAAGTGACATAGGTAAAAGAGAGAAAAAAAATAGAGGAGTGAAAAGAAAAAAGAGCGCGTAAAAAAAGGGGAAAGACGTAGGAAAAGACAAGACAGCGTTTTCTTCAGATCATCGCAACTCCAACACGCAGCCGAAGAGAGATTCTTCTTCTCCTTCTTGAAATCTGACAACAGATCTCATTTAATGGTGGCTCTCTGCTCAACCGATTCTCTCTGAAAAACAAAACCCCTTTTCTTTGTCAACTCCCTCAGGTCAGAGCTTCCTAAAATTTCATCCTATTATCAAAAATTATTACCAATAAGATTTAAACGTAGATTAATTTTTGGATTTAGGGTTTTGAATCGATTTTCTTTTTTTTTTGGAATCTGTTGAAAAATCAATTAATTTTTTTTAAATAAATAAATTGACGAGAAAATCGATGATGATTGATTTGTTGATGAAGACAGAGAGTTCGTTGCAGCCGTGTTGTTAAACTCATAACCCGCGTGAAGCTTTCGTCATCAACCATCATCATAAAAGACTCCTCTCCTCACACGCAATCTCCCATCTCTCTCTCTCTCTCTCTCATCTGTAGAGTAGTTAGTTCCTCCATCGAAATCCCCAATCTTGTTTCCTGTGAGTATCTTCTCCTCTCTCTCTCTCTCTGCTCTCTGTATATATATTATGGCTTTTTTGCTTCATTAATCGGAAGAAAAATGTTTGATTAGAATGATTTAGGGTAAGTTTTGATTTAGGGTTTTCTCCTCTGTTCTGATTTGTGATCTAATCTTCTCTAAAGTTTCATACTTTGTGTTTGTCTACATGATGATTCCTCTCTCAAGCTTCAACCTTTTAATCAAAAAGTTTTAAACTTTACAATATTTACATTTGAATTAATCTCTTTTCTTGTGAAACAGAGAGGAAACTTTCTTTTGCGCGTGTCCCAATTCTCTTCTCCATTAAAACCCCTTCAAGTTTTTAAGTCAAAAGATGGAGGTGAAGCTATGGAACGATAAGCGTGAGAGAGAAATGTACGAGAACTTCGCTGAGCTCTACGCTATCATCAAAGCCACCGAGAAGCTCGAGAAGGCCTACATCCGTGACCTCATCTCCCCATCTGAATACGAAACCGAGTGTCAGAAACTCATCGTCCACTTCAAGACGCTCTCCGCTACGCTCAAGGACTTGGTCCCTAACATTGAGAGGTTCGCGGAGACGTACAAGATGGACTGTTCCGCTGCTGTGTACAGGCTCGTGACCTCTGGTGTTCCAGCTACCGTGGAGCATAGGGCTGCTGCTATGGCTTCTACTTCGAGCTCTGCTTCTGTTGTTGCTGAGTGTGTTCAGAATTTTATTACTTCTATGGATTCTTTGAAGCTCAACATGGTGGCTGTTGATCAGGTGTATCCGTTGTTGTCTGATTTGTCTGCTTCTCTTCAGAAACTGAGCATTTTGCCGCCGGATTTTGAGGGGAAGATTAAGATGAAAGAGTGGCTTTCGAGGTTGTCGAAGATGGGGGCTTCTGATGAGCTCACTGAGCAGCAGGCTAGGCAGCTTCACTTTGATCTGGAGTCTTCTTATAACTCCTTCATGGCTGCTTTGCCTAATGCTGGTAACTAAACCAATGGGATGTGATGTTTGTGCTTTTGTTTAGACTACTTGGCTTTATGTAGTTGTTATAATGATGGCTTTAGGATAATGATTTTGGTTTCAAGACTATTTGTTGCTACACACCTTGGAGATTGATGTTGTGTAGACAGAATCAAGCCTTTCTTTTATTGTGTAATGATCATGTCAAGCCAGAGACTTGATTTCTTTCTGAATTGTATGAATCTAAACTCTACTTTGTTTACCCTTTTTTGCTCCTTTGTTGTTAAATGCTTGCAGTCTTTAGTTTCTAGACAATTTGAACAGAGGAGCCAGGTCAAAACTTCTTCAGCAAAAATATTTTGCCAAAGCTAAAATAAAATGCTAATTATAAGTTCAACGAGAACATTATATTGCCCATTGTAATTAATTAGCTACGAGTTTAGAAAAAGGTAAATGAGCTTTTCATCCGTTAAGTACTGTATATATAAACTACCTTTTATATCCAAAATGCGCAAAGCCTGACGGGTTAAAAAAATGGTGACTACTAGAATTCGTTGCTTTGCTTTAAACTTTCTGGTTTCTGCCGTCATAATCTATTCACCTTAGGAGTCTGCAAAATCCACATGGAGCTTGTGGTGGTGTCTTCTACAATTACTATGTTTATCTCGAGTTTTCCCTTCACCTTGCTTGTCAACTTGGGTTGAAGCTAGTTTCATCATGTCGCAGAGACTTGTCCTTAGTCATTGTGTTCGAACGGGGAGGAGATTCTTCGTCTTTCTCTGGTTGGAAGTTCAAGTCTATTTGTGCTTTAGAAGGCGGTACATGACGCTGCTCATGGTTCTTACTGGTGTTCCCACTGTTGTTAGCAGATTGGTCAAGTTCCTCATCAGAGTTCAGTGACTCGAGCTCCTTATGTGCTTTGCTTTCTATCTCAATCTGCTTCTTCTTATTTTTCCGTAGCAACAGAGTTGCCCTACGGCGTCTTACTGTATCGCAGACCGTGCAAGAGCAGCGTCGGCCGTGTTTGGGACTCGTCCCACTTGGGGATTGTATGCAAACGATGCAAACGCATCCGTTTCTATGCCGTGGGTGCTTTGAGGTTGAGTTGGGTGACATCAAGAGTCCTTCAGCTTCGTCTTTGGCTTCCTCATCGTCCTGTTCAGCTAAGAGATTTCTATTTGCAGAGCATGTTGATCCGAAACTAGAAACAATTCAAAGAAAACAAGAATAAACAGAAAATCAATGAGCTTGAAGGAACTATATGCTTTAGCTCATGCTAGGAGAGACTTTTCAGTATCTAGCAACATGCCTTTGGACCATGACTAGCATTAGTACACCTAAACTGAATCCGACCGGCTAAGATAAGAGTTACCATTTCAAACAACTGAAAGCAAAGAGGAAAGCCAATAAAAAGAATGTACGGGTTTTTCGAGGATTCGAGATTAGGCAATTTACCCAGTATTTGGCTTCCCGATGATTGGGGCATCCTATTTTGACACAAGAAATATAGAAAGAAATAATTCAGTGAGTGACCTGTTCCCAAAAGTAAAGAAAACTAAGATCCTAAAGCGCTTTATACCACAAATGCAGATTAGTTGAGCAGAAATCATATGGATGTACCTCATACTCCTCAAACTCAATGCCTTCTATCGTAATTATAGATGGGGTGAGGTTTGGAGGAGGCAGGATAAATCCTTGAGCTTCTTCCCATGTTAGCTTCATCTCACTGATGTCTCCCTTCTCAATTTTCTGACGTTTGCTTCTTGTAGTCGTCATGCTACTTTTCTTCTTTCCCATAGTTGAATGCATATCAATCGGTTCAGCCTGCTAATGCGTATGCAAAAGAGATTAACTTTCCTCACAAAAGCTAATGCATGCTTGTCAAGAAAGAATGTAAGTTTGGACTGTGAACACTTACATCTACTTTTGTGCAACTCTCACGATTGTTATTCAAGTCAGTTTCCTGTAAAGACATACATTCATAAATAACAATATGTTCTAGACTTATAGTATTTCCATCAGTTATGAGTCGCTCAATCTAAAATATTCTGCTTGAATCTTGAAACAAGCCATTTCGCAATGAAAATGGTCTGCGTCTAACATAAATCATGTAAACAATGTATTTTCACTCATTATTACCACATCGTCTTATTTCCTATTTGTGTGTTGACAATATTACAAAGTGCAAGCTTCTTAAGACTAACAGTTCGTTGGCTACTAAATTAAAATTGTAATTTTGGAAAACAAAAAGTACTTATAAACAAAGCTATCTAGTTATTTAGAAAGTAACCTGAACAGACGATTGAGCGTCCGAAGCCTTTCTGAACCCCAAGATTAACTTCCTTTCTGGATCTACGCGACTAAAGATAACTAAAAGAAAATGGATTTCAGTTCCCAAGTATAAGGTCTTAAACAAAACACTAACTCAGAAGAAAGTAATCTGTTTGACAAAAGATATTCACTTGAAGTGTAACTCAAAAGAATTGGTGTAATATACTTGACAAAAGATATTCACTACAATGCTACCACAAAACATATTTACGCATTAATTAATTGGTAAACGAAGACCAATGACATACCTGTATCACCAGCCTGCAACTGCATGCTCTGTATGCATGGAGTCACTCCCTCTAGAAAATACATTCTGCTATTGCTGTTGACCCAAAAGCGAAACTGAAATGTCCACTCTTTACCCCTTGAGTCATGTATTGTGAGAGGCACACCATCGGTATGGGAAATCTGGGGCAAGAAAGCCTGTTACATAACAGAAGCCTTGTTCGTTTAATTCGAGACAACTGTAAAGTTTACAGATATTATGACTAGTAGATTCATTATGCAAAAAATAATGTAGTTGATGTAAGCAGCAGACAGTCACTTCCCAATTCTTTCCACATGTATCACCTGTTAATTAAGATAATAAGAATATGTAATTGCATATGAAAACAGTTATTTACCTCTGCACATTTCTTTGGCAGCACCATCCGCCCAACTCGTCCAGCATCACTCACACTCAGAATCTTCTCAAAGAGAGGGGTGACAACTGATACAGATCTTGCACGTCGTTAAGGTTCTGCTAGCTTAAAAGTGGCGAACGTTTTTTCAGTTTTATAAGTTATGAACCTGCGCGGCATAAGTATCCCAGGCTCCGAGAAGAATAGTAAAACGTATATATAAGACCGTGTAACTGAAAGGCTTACACCCCCAACCCTATTCTACAACCTAGTATAGACACTTATTCACATCAAAAAAATTTTTAAAAAATAATAATAACAAAAAGCAAAAGGAACATGAAACTTAAATATGGATAAAAGACAAAAAGGATACTCGTTAACTTGATCTTTATATGGAACCTTAGGAGAATAGCGTGGAACCACCTGATATTTTCCAGGCGTATCAAGATGAGTCCCAATATTCCCACTCTTGTTTTCGAGTGGTGAGTCTGCTCCACTATTCAAGTCATTGTGTAAGTGACTCAATTGAGAAGAATTAGCTTTGTGCCATAAATATCTTCCACCTAGTCCCAAGTGTCCTGTTGTCTCAGTTGGTGTTGTTACAGGAAAAACACGCTGTGCTCCCAGTGGACCCTCCTTAAATGAAATCGGTGGATGATATGCATTGCCGTTTGGACAAGTAGGTGCTTTACAATTAGGTCCTGCAGTTAAAGATTCATTAGTAAGCAGCAGGCTTCAACTCAGCCAGATAACATAAATGAGATTGCAATAAAAGTAACAGGAAAATCTTTTTATATATGGCCATGGACCTGCTTTCTGATTATAAAGAATGCTGCTTGTGTGATTGTTCGAGTTTACACTCATTAATTTTCCCACTAAGTCATTCATTCCCCTTTGTGTCTCCGTGGAATATGCAGTGGCCTTATCTCTAGAAGTAGGTTGATTAAATTCATATCCATCTCCACGGTATTGCAGAGCACACTGCAGAATCGAAGGACTTGATAAATTAGGAGGTCGGTAACTTCTGATTGAAGATCTCCATTCAATCGACAAGTCCTTGAATTTCTCAGCAATTGGAGATTGGAAAGGAAAAGATGGTGGTGGCCTCAAATTAGGACCCTGAAACACATAAAACAGACTGTTATACGTGTGGTCTACATCACAAAACTGGTCTTCAAACACATGAAAAGGACCTTTGAACAGCTGAAGTTTACTAAAGATCCAGCTAGACATGGCCATATATAATGAACCATATTGATTCAGGTAATATCACTCCCCCGAGAACAATATAAGGATGGAATTCTATAATAGGAAATAAAAAGTGAAATCCTTTCTCACCATAGAAACTTTTTTTCGTGCACAAGTCAAGCACTCAATTCCTCCAGCATCCAGCAACATAAAAGCAGAGGCAGAAACAATACAACCGCAATGAATTCGCTGCACAGAATCCAATAGTGAGAAATTTCATACGCGCACAGGATTTTGTGATGCAAAAGAGACTTAAAAATGTAATCAATACACCATGTCTTTACCTTTCCACATGACTCACAACACGTCCAACCGGAAGCCCTTTGGTGAAAGATTTCACAAAACTTTCCTTGCTCATAGGCAGAGCTGTAACCAGAACATAGTCATCAATATATATATATATATATATATTTGCAAAATGGGTAATACAATAACAAGTTAATGAAATTGAATGCAGTGAGCTGGTAAAAGAACTGTCTCTGCAGTGTCGTTGAATCAGAGAAACAAAAACCAGTCCTTTGAGTCGGTTGATGCGTAATGAAATTATAGCTATTAAAAAAACTTTAACTAGTCTTTTTGCTTCTTGTGAAAGTAATACATTCTGATGAAGTTTACATTTCAAAAGCAGACAAGTCACTAGAAACTATAGACTATATAGTCTCCAAGCATCCATAGTTTGGAAAACACGTTCTAAGGCTCATCAAAGACGCATTGTTTCTAGAAAGCACTCTTCAGGCAGGGACGAAAATCACTAAAGGGCCACACATATCATCAATATGAACAAATGATTTCCTATATAAACCTATCAAACACATAACACATCTTCACAATGTTGTGAGAGCAAAAACTTTCGTTTCCTAGACTAAGGCAGGTAGTAAAACTCTGATGCTCTTTGTAATTCAGTGAAGATGGACCTTTATATTTACATAGAACACTCCCTTACCCAATATTATTATTATTTCACAAAATGCCCCTTATAAACGCGTCAGGAATAACACAGAATAATCGTAATAAAACCCATCACGTATAATAATATCTAACTCTGATGCAGTCGAAAGTTAACCAAAAATCTGATAAAAACTCCACTAGTGGACAAACTTTAAAATTCTGATGATTAGAACGCAATGTAGCTTCCTATCTCTTTCAACTTTGCAGTCCCCTAGTTTGTACTTCTTCCATATCTCTTAGCTCTATAGCTGGAATTGAAAACCTCTATAGACTCTCTCCACTTAGCAAAACATCATTGATTCCCACATGAACAATTAGACCACACCACACTTTGAAACCACAATGCTCTAAAGTTAATATACTCCAATCCCTAATTTTCAACAGCAAAATACATTTCCCTATCAACATTACAAAAACAGCTCAAAAAGATTCTCTGATTGTAGCCAATACATACTTATTATATTACCCTATCCTCACAAAAAAAAAAAAAAATTACGGTTTCAAAATCTGTCACCACCAGTGGAAATTAATAACACTACAAAAAGAATTTTAAAACAAAATTACAGATTAAAAAAATAATAATCAAACAACGTTCTTCCACCTGATTTTTGCAAAAATTGAGAACAAAGCATTCAAAAACTGTTATAACTGAAAAAAGGAAAATACAGAGAGAGAGTGAAGAGTTGGTTACGCGCAACGGTTACAGAGGTCGGCGAAATCGCCGTTACGGAGACGCCAGCCAGGACGGTAGTTAGACTCGCGGGTGAAGTCATGATGACACTCGCGGTTAAAGCAGAATCTATTGGAAAAGGAAGAAGGCGTCATAGAGGAGGAGGAAGGAAAGGGAAGCATCATAAACCCTAGAAAAAAATGCGTATAGATTGAGAGAAGAAGAAGAAGAAGGGGAAATGGTAGAGAAAAAAGGTAGTGAAGTGTTTTTGCCTGATCAGCTCTCTCAAAAGTGCTTTTTTCTCTCTGAGATTTGACGGAAAAGGAAAGGTATCATCACACTTAACCTTTTTTTATTTCTTTCCTCTTTTTTATTATTATTTACGTTTTTATTTATTATTCTCTCTTTTTTTTAATTAATTAATGCCAAGTCATCATGAGTTTGGTAGGTCCAAAATAAATTCTATCAGACCATATGATATTTGATACCAACATTGATATGTCGCATCCATTTTTTTTATTATTATTTTGTTTGCTGCGGGATAGAATCTCTCTCCTTTTTGCTTTTTTTAAAAGCTCTGAACTCTATAGGACTATTATTTAATTAGATGGCACAATGTGTTCTCACAACAACATTCGTTATGCGTCTTCTAACTTCTTGTAACCAAATCACAAAATACAGATTCAATACTACAAAAGTACAAACCTCCTGTGAAGTGTGAACAAAGTCATAAACCAATTAATTCAAGAGAGTAAGTAATGATTCTATCTATCTGAGTATTTTCTTTCTAACAACTTGAAATTAATTGATCTACAGAAACAATCAAAATCCAGGGCTTGGAGGAGGGTTTACTTGTCTTCAGATACTTCTTCTTCTTCTTCTTCTTCGTCTTCATCTTCTTCCAATATGTACACCAGTGCACGTCTTCTCTCAGCAAAAACGCAAGCCACTCCTCTTGAAGCTGTTAAGCACATGATACAAGGTGTTAAACTAGAAGAATGTCATCATCCTATGTTGAATCTACATCTTCGAGTTAAGTTCTCTGTTTGCTATACTTAATCACATTACTAGTCTTAGTGAGAGTACTTAGGCAATCTCTTCTCCTATAAAATTTTCAGTAACTTCAAAGATTTTAGTTATGAATTAAATGGAATATGAATGAGTAAAATGGGAACTTACAGCTTACTGCTAGAGGAGCAATGGTAGAATGTGGAACTTTCCGAACCTTTTCATTCTCCATTTCCAGGTTAACAATGGAGTCCTGTAGGATTATTGTTTGTGAGGATTTTTGGTAAATAAGACCGTTTCAAGATAGATAAGTTACTAGAAGGAGCAGGGAGCAGTTGAGAATGATTACAATTAACATTACCTTCAAATCCTCTAGCTCCCATTGATTTAGACAACTAGATCTTGAAATGGAAATGAATGGAAGGTCACCAGTTTGAACAACCATCATGCAGGCTCCTCCTGAGCCTTCCGGATTTGCACTTGTTTCGTTCATCAATAAAACCAGTTCTTTATCCTGTTTCAAAATTAACAGCTCAGAGAGAGAGAGATAATAAAATAAATCGACCAGTGCTGCAGACGAGTATGAGTATTCACCTTGTAGAGAGATAAATCAACACAATGGTAGCCATTTGGTAAAGATAACAAGACAGCTTCCAGAGAAGTATAATCATTGTTTCCATTGTTGGAGTTTTGCTTAAACCCCTTAGCTATGCCAATACAGTTCTGAATATCTGGGAAAGCTTCGTTAGGGACTTGAAAAGATATGTGATCAGTGTACCCACTTTCACAAGGTGTATCCGCACAAAGTTCATTCTGCACCAGCAGATAAAGGTTTAAGTATGTCAGGACGCAAATTTTAACTTCGAAAATAGAAACGAATAATACGCAAGAACCTTTTCCTAAGCATTGGATTATAATAATGTGCGCTAGAATTGATGCTGCAAATACCTCATAAAAGGAAATAGACATCGGAATGGTAGTACGTGTTTGAGCTGTCGACAACTGAAGAGGACATAGCGGCAACAACTTCATACATGATATCTTCCTTGATATGGTTGTAAAGGGCATTTGAAGAGCCCTCTTGAAGCTAAACATTGTTAAAGCAAATAAATCAACTTTGGTGTCTATCACTTAAAGAAATCCACAAGAAAGTATGATCAGATATTAAAAAGCTCAGCATAGTTTGTTTTGCAGGTAAAACTCCCAAAAGACGTACTACTACTACCATTGTTTAATAATACTATTAAATGTTAAGGAAAAAAATACCTAGACTCCATGTGTTGGAATTCCTTAGCCAATGTTCTCCGCAGAAAATCAGTGTCTGAAAACCCTCCAAACTGAATTAACTGTCTGACTCTTTCAGTTGTTTTGCTGGAACATGAAAACCATAAGAGTTTATACGACTTGGAGGAAAATGTAATAAAATGGACAGCCTTGGAGGATTCAATAAATTCTATGTTTCATTCGTTTCTAATTAGTCATGTATGCAGAGACTCATAGAAGCACAAAAGCGCATATCTAAATTTGCTTTTAGGATGATTAAAGAAACCCCCTTGGATTTTCCTTTGTGAGAACACATAGGCCCTACTCTACTGAATCTGCTTATGGATAGTTCAAGAAGTCAGGTAAGATGACCAAGATTCTGATCGACTAAAACATATTAGGTAAAAAGGTAGGTAAAAACGCAGATAGAGAAAGAAGTAACCCACAGATCAATTTCAATGTCATCATCAGCTCCAGATACCTCCACGAGGTCTTTCACTGGATCTTGATCATATAAGAACTTCAGGAATACCACAAGGAGTTCACTGCCACGGAAGCAAACCATGTCACTACAAAGATTTGGCTTTCAACACCATAAGCAAAATAGAAACACACGTGCATACCTGTTGTATGACATAAGCTGATCATTTGGTTCTTGCATAAGATACTTTATGCTTTTGAGGAGCCAGTTAAAGAAATTTGAGAACTGAAACAAAAAGACTATAATATTATTGAAATGGACACCTGGTGGGAAACATGGGACAAACGTTATTCTGAATAACAATTTTTTATTGCCTAAAGGGCTGCACGCCTCTGTACCTGTTGAACGACAGAAGATAGTACCATCATAAACCGTTGCACTTGTACAAGTAGAAGACCAGCATTTTCAGTTGCTTCATCAAGGAGTCTCTCATCCAAACCAATGCCTTTGTATCGTGCACGCCACCTTGAGAGACCTCTTAGTTCACCCATCCTGAATCCTATGATTTCTGCTGCAGGCTGGGAAAAAAAAAACTATCGTGACGCTCTATCTAATTATTTGCAGGTCTTTGAAAGAGTTCGAATCATTTTGATAATAATAAGTTCGAGCTCTTTTACCGTCTACGGTTCGAATCCGTATAGTCCTAACTAATAAATGACATTCAAATCAAAATAATTGGATAATTTTTGATTTATTATTGTATTCTTTATTTCTAACTGGTTACTTTCAATTTGTTGGTTCATAAAAAAAATTCGCATACCCTAAACCAGAAGTCCTGGAGATCGTTCAGAATAAAACGCAATAAGTAAACGCTACTTAGTCTAACAATACATATATCCATATCCAGGAGAGTGAAGAATACTAAACCTGAAGATGGTCAAGGACAACCAGCTGAAGCTCTTTTCCTGTACCACATACTGACTTTAAAACGCGCTTGACACCCTACTAAACAAGATAACTACTTAGTGGAATACAATAAAAACTAGTACCATGAAGATGATCAAGTAAAGGGAAGCTTACCACTTCACCAAGAGAGTTAACTAAAAACTGATTAAGTGCTGGGCTTATTCGTGCACCACCCAAAAGGCTAAGAAATTCTTCTTGAGGAGATGATTCCAGTCCTATGAGAAAACAACACAGCCTGTGAATCTATGAGCCAACGAGAAAGACCTCAACACACAAGCAGAAGTGGCAAATACCATTATCTGTGATCAAGGTGGAAAGAGAATGAAACTTGTCGTGGAAAGTTTTCATGGCATCCGCCCATTGTTTGTTCATAACTGATAGGGATTCTCGAATAACCTCAGTCAAATCTTCAATGTTGGAAGCTTGTTGAGCAACCTGATGAAGCTCATATTTCCTGAAACAAAATTTTGACGCTTGAATAAATAAAAGTAGATGCAAAATAATGACAAGGAAGGAACGAAAGGAGCAGCAGCCGAATATAGATAAATTCGGTGTGTACTCATGCCTTTAGCAGAAAAGTTACCTCTTCCAAAATATAGATGTGTCCATAGCAAGGCAATGTAAACCATGCAGATCAACATTTAGTTTTTCCTCCTTTGGCTCGATATCACAATCCTTAAGCTCTCCTGTGCACATTACCACCAGGCGACAGAGGTCTTTCGATAAAGCAACCTAAGAAAGGCAATTAACAGTAATTAGAATCTAAAGACTCTTATCCCTCCTTCCTTAGTTTTGTCCACGGACATTCACTCTCAGAGACACGACAACTGAAGAAATGTCATTTATGTGTTTCGGAAAGCATGGTTGTTTAAAGGATGCAAGTACCTTGTAGATGGTAGCATTAAATAGCTTGCAAGAGGCATGCTCATCCAGATCCGCCACAGGAACAGACAGCTCGTGTATGTTCTGATCATGAGTTTGCAGGATAGCAGAGCAAACACATGAAACGAGAGAAAACATGAGTTAAAACTGAAAACCAAAACACAAGAATACTGTTCGTAGCTAGAAATAAAGATAAAAATGAAACTAAATATATGTTAAACTATACCCCTAACATTATTACTGGAAACATATGTGATATGGGAGCCACTAAAGATTTCAGAACATAATTTACATATGCAAACAGTGCTGACAACTCATTAAACATCCACAATTCTATAAGCAAACAAAACTGGGAGATGATGGACCATCAGCAACCATGATACACCGATGGCTTACAAATTACATAAAGTCAGAATAGCGACTTACAATCTTTCCAATCTGAAATATTCCAAATATATTAAAGCAGATGCTTCCATCTCGATCTCCACTGCAGAGAACGTTAAATTTCCGGAATGAGGCATTAGATAGTTCTGCTAAAGAATCTTCACCATCATCCATGAAACTGGAGTCACCAGCTACCACTCCAGGCATCTTCGGAGCTCTTGGAGCAGGAGGGAAGAAACGTGAGGTACGGTCTTCATAAACTGAGGCTTTCCCAATTTCATCCTGAAAACCCAACTCGTAGAGTAAGCACAAGCTCATATAAACGAAAGAAATACCCATTGATATAAACCAACACATGAGAAACCATACGGCACTGGATTGTCCATCCTCCTCCCAGTTAAGACACACGACAGCTACAGCATGGGGCTTCAAGCTCCTTAGTAGCTTCCCATTCTGCATTAAAAAGGAAAAAAAGAGAGTATTAAAAGCATGGCTCTTTTTCCTTTGATTGCTATAGCAATGCCTCCAACAGAATTTTGTTAATCCATCAAAATCATCATCATAGATTAGCTTCAAAATCTAAAACTTGCCTCAACATCATGAAGCGCAATGGTTCCATCCTCTAGACCAACAGCAATGGCTTTACCATCAGGACGCCAACATAAAGAAGTAACAGACCTTCCTATAAGCCAAAAGAAACGAATACTCAAAAAACCCATCTTGCATTCAAAAATGTCTACTTTATATCTAACAAAAGTGAGTAAATAGATAATTTTACCAGGCGAAATAGTCCATAATCTCTGCCAATTGAACCTATGCAGCAAAATCTTGGAGTCCTCTGTAACCATTGCCAGCAAATCCTTCTCCGGGTTCCACTCTGCTATCTTAATCTACAAAAGAAACATGAACATATCAACATAAGAAAAGAAGGCAAACCCAAGTTTAAAACCACAAAAAGCCAACAACTTTGAGAAGAAGAGAAGAAAAACCTGAGAGGGTATGGGCTTATCGAACTGGAGCTGGAAAGGAATGCTACTTTCACCCTCCTCACTCTCCATCTCTTAAGATCTCGAGAGGTTTTACAAAGTTATATAAATTAGGGGTTTCGGGAAAAGTTTCGACTTCTTCTAAAGCTACAAGAACTAAGGAATCAGAAAAGAAGAGCTGTAGAGAGGGAATTAAGGAAAGGGGGAAGGAGAAGACGGCGGTCGCCGGAAACCGCCGGGAGCAGAAAGAGAGACGGAGTTATAATGACAAAACCTGGCGGGATTTTTCTTCTCAATTTCCAATAAAACACCTAATGTTTGGTTTCATCTCGGTTTTGATTCTATTTTGGGTTTATTTTTAACTTTTGGTTTTCCGGTTAAAGTTTTAGGAACTGAGATTGAAAAACCCGGTTCTGGTGTTGGAGATTTCGACTACGGATTACAACAACAATACTTTATAGGCTTGAGCATTCGGGTACGAATCGATTCTTTCGGGTATCAAGTTCTTTGGATTTTCAAATTCAGGATTCACTCAGATATTATAAATTCACTAGTCGGATTCGAATTAGGTCCTTTCGAGTTCGGATCTGATGCATAGGAACCTAAAAATAACCAAATAACCAATGTATTTGAAACGGGTGCGGTTATTTGTACCTAAAATAACCATATTACCCGATATGATTCATATATTTTGTATCCAAATTACCTATTTTACCTAGATATAACCAAAAATATTCGTTAGACTCGGTTTTGTTTGGGTATTTTATATCAGAAATATTATATTTTGTCTAAAAATACTCAAAACATCAAAATAACTAACATATTTAATTTTAAATTTTAAATTATTAAAATAATTATAAGTATAATTATTAATAATATTTTCAGATAAATATTTATATTTAAGATATTTCGGATACTCATTCGGTTCTTGATTCGGATCGGATTTGGTACTAGTTCTTTGGATATACAATTTAGGACCTATTCGGTTATTGACCTTGTATCTAACTGGGTTCGGAACCCTGATTTTCGGATCCAAATATTTTGCCCAACCCTAATATTTTCTGGTTTTTGAATTTCCGGTTTACGATATATCCCAGCTGAAACAGGTTTAGGAGATTTTGAATGGGTTTATTATAACAAAACTTGAGTTTCCCAGTTTCCGGTTTACGAAATCTCCCATCTAATCCCGGTTCAGGTTTTGGAGATTTCGACTACGGTTTACAACAGCAACACTTGGTGGTTTTCGAATTGCCGGTTTACAAAATCTCCCCAGCTAAACCCGGTTCGGGTTTAGGAGATTTGGACTGGGGTTTAGAGCAGAAGTAAACCTCTTCTCTTACTACTTTCCCCCACAAACCTCTCTCACTGACGACCACGGCGACGATGGGTGAAGAAGGAGAAGCTGTAGCAGAAGGAAACGGCGGACTAATAGTAGAGTCAGGAGAGCGAAACTCCACGTGGCCCGCCATGAGATTCGATGTCTCTCCTTACAGAACACACCATTTCTCCAAGCAGTTCAGGACCTCTCGGAACCCTAACAATTTCCTCAAGGGTCTTAAATGGTAACCCTTTCTTCCCTTTGTCTCACTCTCGCTTAAAGTTCTGTTCTTTGCCTTAAAAGTTTGGTTTTATATTTGTTCTTACAGGTCACCTGATGGTTCGTGTTTCCTTTCAAGCTCAGAGGACAATACACTTAGTCTCTTCTATCTGTAAGTTGAATAAGTGTTTAACTGAAGAGCTTTAGTTCTGTGTTTAATCTTTATTCGTTTTTATAATTGTGCATTAGGCCTCAAGATGGAGAGGAGTCTAATAGTAATGGAGTGACAATCCCTGAAGAAGGTAACCTTTTTCCGTTTATGTTTTGTTAAGTAGTTTTTATGATTTTATGGTGTCTTTATGTTTTTCTTTTGAACTTTGTAATTGTAGATTCATATGGTGCGAGTCTTCTTGTGAACGAGGGTGAATCTGTTTATGATTTCTGTTGGTATCCATACATGTCAGTTTCAGGTAATTAAATAAATTTATCATGAAGGGTTTCTTTCTCTCTCTCTTTTCTCTTAATGAATGACTGATCTTGGCTGTTCACTGTGTTTGATTTACAGACCCATTAACATGTGTCTTCGCTACCACAACTAGAGACCATCCAATCCATCTTTGGGATAGCTCTTCTGGTGAGGTGCTGATTTTTTTCTCCATGGAATCTGCTACTTGTTTTTTTTTGTAAACTTAATGTCGTTGTGGTCAGTAGTTATTAGTTAGGACCTGGAGAAAGATTGTGTTCACGTGCTTTATCAAATTGTTTTTTCTTTAGTGTTGGTGTAAGAAGAAAGAGTGTTATTCTACCATCGTATAGTGTGTGTCTGGTTTCTTATATCTGAATATAACAATGGCAGCTTCGGTGCACGTACCGGGCCTACGATGCTATGGATGAAATAACTGCTGCATTTTCGGTTGGATTTAATCCTCATGGAAACAAGTAAGCACAAGGGTCTTCTAAATTTCATCCATCTTCACACATGGTAGAGACGTTTTGATAAGCAGTCATCCATATTCATTCGGATTTGGTTGTGTCTTTAGGATCTTTGCTGGTTACAACAGCTCTATAAGAGTGTTTGATCTTCATCGTCCCGGTAGAGATTTCGGGCAGTATTCAACTCTACAGAAAAACAAAGAAGGCCAAGCAGGTTGTTGTCAGTTTTACCACTCCACCGATGCATATCATTAGTACAGTATATGCATAAACTATAACAGTTTGTCTTTGCTGGTTTTGTAATAATATGCAGGTATATTATCTACTCTTGCTTTCTCTCCAACTAATTCTGGAATGTTGGCTGTGGGCTCTTATGGACAGACTAGTGGGATTTATAGAGAAGACAACATGGAGCTGTTGTATGTTTTACATGGTCAAGAAGGCGGTGTTACACATGTAAGTCATTAACTCTTTGCTTTGTTCTTGTGCATTTTGAAATGATAAATTATAAAAATCAAACTTTTTTACTTTCTTTCAGGTTCAGTTTTCAAAGGATGGGAACTATTTATATACGGGAGGTCGCAAGGTAACCTTTGATTGTGGTCTTGTGCATATTTATCATTAGTTGATTACCATTATAAGATGACCTCTTTTAGGTGAAGAAAGTATGGTCTATTGTGAGATACGAAAGTATTATATCATATATGAATCATGTTCGCAGTAACCTTAACTAAAACTGTTTCTTCTTTTCAGGATCCTTACATTCTTTGCTGGGATATGCGGAAATCTGTTGAGATAGTTTATAAGTGAGTATTTAGTTTCTTTTATTGTTGTCGTTAGGTTATCTTTGGGTTTGTAAGCTTTATAGTGTTATTATAATCTACAAATATAAGCAATATGAATGCTTAGTGAGCCATGAGCAAAAAAGATCAAAACCACATAAACGTTCAAGTTACTACTAGAAGTGTTAGCTTGTTGAATTTAAGAATTGGTTCTTGCTTTCCGATTGTTGAATTTTATACTAGTTATTCTTTGATATGTGATCAGATTGTACAGAGCAACAGAGAACACAAACCAACGTGTCTTCTTTGATATTGAGCCATGTGGTCGACATCTTGGCACTGGTGGTCAGGTACTAATAATAGTCCTCCCTTGCTTTTGTTGTAAACTATTCAGAACGAGCAACTTAAGGTGAAGTGAAATTGCTAAAATCTTTTCTCCATATCGCTCTGTCTATTTTTCCAGGATGGTCTCGTTCACATGTATGATTTACAAACCGGAAACTGGGTCTCTGGATATCAAGCTGCTTCAGGTAAGCTTACATTTGGTTCTTTGAGTAAATTCACCACTTCTTGATGAGATCCTAACTTAAAGAATATTTGCAGATACTGTCAATGCTTTTTCTTTCCACCCATACCTTCCCATGGCTGCTACATCTTCTGGTCACAGAAGATTCACAATTCCAGATGATGACGATGAAGATAAGAACCATGTTCAACTTAAAGGTACTCCTCCACAGTTCCACCAAAACACATTTAACTTCATACAATTAATATTTGCTTTCTTGCCAGTGTTAAAAGACCAAAAAAAAAAAATCTTTATATTCTCTTTTGTGTGGGCATGCAGCTGACGAAAACTGTGTATCTCTCTGGAGTTTCTATCTCACACCCGAGGAGAGCACTTCTGATGAACATAACAATGGCCTTGGAGCCAATTCTCATCACCAGAATATCACTGGAGAAGACAAAAATGTTTAATATATTGTTTACTGTTTTCACTCTATGTTTGAATTGAGATTTTAAAAATAATTCTTTTTTTTTCTAAAATGTTCATCGGTCTTATCCTACCAAAAAATGGCATATTCTCTTTTTTTTTTGTACATTGCATTAGTTAGAAAATAAAAATTTTAAATCAGAAGCTTATCCCTCGAATCCAATGTAACATTAAAAAAAAAAAATCATTTACTCCTCTGTTTGCCTAACCACCAAACTCCTCTACTTCACCACCGTTGAAACTTACTAAAATTGACACGTGTCGAACGATCTATTTTACTGATCCCATGAAACCGCACACGCACGGTCCCGATTTTCCCTCCCCCGAATATAACGCATGTACAGAGAGCTCCTCAACTTGGACTGATAGATAGAAACACAAACTGCCATTACGGCTGACTATTAATAAACTGCCACGTCACATCAGTATCCTTGAATCCGAGCTTTATATTCTCTCCAAAAGTTTCGTTTCAGTTCTCTGAATTTATTATTATGTTTTCTTTTTCTCTACGTTTCTGATCGATGATTCATTATTTACATTTGATTAGCAAGTTTTGGTTCTGTAGTGTTGCGAAAGTAGTTGAGTGGTTTTCTCAAGCTTTGTTTCGAACGATGGCGTTAACAAAAATAGTGAAGTGGAATGGCTTTCAAGGCGGCCAGGAAGAGGAGTTAGGTTCAGTGAAAATCACTAGAGGATTAGGGAGGAAAAGGGTTTTGCTTTCAAGCAGAGTACACGAATCAACGACGCCGTTGAAGAGACAACGAAGCAGAACTAGTAATGTCTCTTTGTCATCTCGCCTTGAAACTCTGCCTCAAGAACTATTGGTTAGCTTATTTTACTTTAAATTAATTTTTCTAAATTTAGATGTGATTAGATATGATTTTAACAATTTCACAGATCCGAGTGATTTGTGGGGTGGACCATGAGGATCTGATGAGTTTAAGTACGGTATCTAAATCAATTAGAGAAGCTGTAAGTTCCATTTTTAAGATATCTTATTTTTTTTAATTATTTCAGATCATTTTTATTTATGGCAAATATGAAACATTAACAGAGTTTGGTAGCAAAAGAATTGCATTTTGCATACACAACACCCAAGAAGTCTCGAGGTTATCGAAACCAACTAGATCCCGAGGATTTTAGCAATCACGTTGAAGACGTTGAGCCGCCTAACGCACCGGTTCACCATCGTTGGACCACGGCTAAGAGGAAAGAGCAGCGCTCTAATGTCTCTGTGGCATTGTTTACTTGAAAATGATGATGATGAGTTTATGTAGATGGTTGGATTCGAGTGGCTTTTAACTACTGTTAAAGTCTCTTTGACGGTTGGTTGATAGCTTTTTTTTTTTAAGATTAGTATGCATTTCGATTCAGAAGCTTTTTAGGGTTCTACAATTGGGATTTGTAGATAAATTTTATTTTTCTGCATACCTTGGGAACTGAAATGGTTTTTTAATGTATTTCAGACTTTTGGGGTTTTAGTCAGAGTATCCAAGGTTCTGTTTTTGTTTTTGTCTTAGGGTGCAATAAAGATAAATCAGTCTAGTATATCTAATGAATTGTCTGTCATAAATTTTTAAATATTGTATTACTTTTCCTAAACTAATATCATCTACCTATTGTAATTTGTTCATGCTTTCTGTAACTCAGCAATCCTCTTCTATATACAAAACTCTGACCATACTAGGGCTGGGCACAAATACTCGTTACTCGCCTTATATTCGTTACTTGACCCGTACTCGCCTCGTTTTTTCAAGTACTCGTCGTTTTCAAGTCAAGTATCAAGTCGCTTAGTTTTGCTATTTGCAAGTATAAGTCAAGTAACAAGTATTACAAAGAAATTAGTGACCCGCCTTGATATTACTTGTTACTTGTTTTGCAACTGAAAGAAACGATAACTAGACCATAGAAACAAAAGTCTTAAAAATATATTTATTTGTTGTAAGAAATAAAAAATATTTTGTATCGAAACATTTATGTATTTGTTTCTTCTTCTTTATAATAGGTACAAATATTTTATTTGAAATAACTTTTATGTTTTTTCTCAGTTGAATAAACAAAATAAACTTTCATAATCTTTTCTTATACAATATTATCTAATAAATAGTTATTAGAAACTTGAATAAAATATCCAAATAATTCATAAATATTTGTAAGTAATAAGTAATCGAACGAGGCAAGTAACTTGCAAGTAACATATTTTTGGACAAGTACTCGAAATAACAAGTACCTGTTTTCGACAAGGCAAGAACAAGTCCGAAAATTCATTACTCGTTCAAGGCAAGTCAAGTATCAAGGATACACAAAAATGCAAGTAATCGCCTTGCGCCCACCCCTAGACCATACAAACTCTCAACTCCACAATAAAAAATTCCATGATGTGATGATATATGAAATGCGTGTAGTCCGCTGCTGTCATATTTTTGATTTGAGATCAAATCAAATTCGATATCTAAGTAATTACAGTATTGCCATATCAATCCACCATAAGGAGAAATGGAGAATTAACCTGCCAATGATCCAACTAGAATCGTTTTTTTTTTTGACAAAAGTCTGAAATATCTCAGTTTTGACCATACAAGTCTTTAAAAGACATAATATTATTTCCACTAGAGATGGCTTAGCTAGACGGTAGATCACACCAGAGAATCTAATTCTATCATAATAAGGTTAAGGGAGTCTCGAGATAGGCTTGGCTTAACGCCACGAATCAGCTTCATCATTTCATCAGAGATGCTTGACTTGAGCTGCTTCCCATCATGAACGTTACGATCCAACTAAAATCGTTTAGGTAGTCGTTTTTCACCCCTCTGAAAACAATACCTACTCTAAATTTAACAGTTATTTCACTCGGTTCAGATACACACGAACACGATGACTGCTAGAGTCATGACTTTAAAAAAACTGAAAGGATGTATCCAACGTTGTCCTTATCTATAATTTTCCAAACCTTAATAAACAAAAACAAAATTGACATTCCTTTCATTTTATAAAGAATGTCATTTTTACATTTTACATATATTAAGAAAATGATTTTTTTAATAATTATATTTGTTTTCAAATAAATAAAACTATTTATAAAGATCATGGCATTTCACAATAATATTAAGTTTAAATTATATATAACATGTACTATTAAATTTTTAAAATGACATTTTCTTTGCATAATAAAATATAACAAAGTGCATTTTTTTTTTATAAAAACTGATAGTTTATTACTCTCTTATAGGTAGCATCAATAATTACTCTCTATTCTAATATAGTTATTTATACTTTAAAATATTAGAACGATCTAATAGAAGTTTTCATTATATTTTGTTCCATTTACCGTTATCAACCTTCGAATATTGTTTTGTTAAATATCTAATCACTTATAAGATAGTCAACTTTTTTCTAATAAGTAACTAACTATAATGTATTGTAGAAATGTCTAAAATAAACTATCCCATGCATTCTAGATCCTTAGTTTATGCTTCTATTGCTGTTGTGTTAAAAAATGCTTCTACTGCTGTTATTATTTTACAAATTAACCCGTGAAAATAACTCTTAGTAAAAGTGTACCCGAATCATTTCTGACTCCAAGTACATATTAATATTTTTTTCTCAATCCATATATCAACAGTCCATATGCATCTCTACCTCTCATTATCATCCATCTAAATGGAACAGCTTTGTTTCCACTTTGACCCATACATCGAAATTTGAAAGAGACCCGAGAAAGAAGAGGGAAAAAGGAGGAAGAAAAGTGATGTCTTAATTTCTCTTTAGTTTAATTACATTTTTTTTAAAAGAATACTAATTGTTCATGTGCTTTTAAAACTTTTGGACATCCAATTTTGCGAATCATTACATCGAAGTCAAGCCTAAGTGATGGATGGGTCGGTCCAGAATGGATCAAATTCACGTGGTTTGTGATGTCCTTTGGGTCCATTCTCCTTAATCATCAATACTGTGATTGTTTTTGTCGACTTTATATAAGGTCCTTGCTTCTTGCTTAAATAACCCTTTATATATCATGAATCTCAAACTTGAAAGAATGTAAAAAGCATCCAAAAGCTTTGTGTCCAATCTTGTTTATTAACTATAACCAAAGTATTTAATTCGATTAATAAGTTAATAACAGTTGCAACTTTTCAGTATAGACCTTCACAGACCTTTTTAGGCTAATGAAAACATTATATTTTCGAGTTCAACAAAAATCAGGAAATTAGTTACACGAAAAAGGAAGACATGGGCAAAAGAAACCACTACACAATTGCCACAACTACCACCTTTCGGGCTTTCACCTTTCTCTATCTCAAGAATCATAAAGCGGAACTACTTTACTTTGATTGATCATATTCATTATTACTTAAATCTTTATAGAAAGAAAAGATGGAAACAGGATTAAAAGTTTAGAGAAAAAAAAATAATTGAGAGAGGATGGAGCAGACATGTTGTGTGATGAAAATATGAACGCAAATAAATGACACTATGAATGCAAAGAAATTGGTTGAGGAAATAATTACAACAATCCATTTATATTTGTGTTTGACTATGGGAGTAATACCGGGAAATTTTTGGATTTAGACATTAGAAACAATAAAATCAAACATTGATGATCTAGCAATTCCATTAATTTTATGATTCGTATCTTATTCTATATTATACAGGTAGCAAAACATAATGGAGATAACAGTATAAATTGGTGATAAAATGCTAAATAGTAATATATACTAGGTTGTAATTTAATAAAATGAGTAATTAATTGCTTTTTTGCATATTTTTTATAATTAAATAGTTTCATAGATTATCATTTGTGGAAGTTAAAAACGTAACTTCTTCTTCTGTTCCTAAAAAGTAAACGTTAAAAAAAAAACATTTCCTGCAAATTAATAATGATAAATATAATTGTTTTAAAATTAATTATATATACTTATTGAAATACTATAAGTTTGAAATTACTAAAAATTGGCAAAGACAGAAATAATACATTTATGTTGGTGATTCTAATTTTTTTTTATTAGTGAGTCATTATTTTTTATCTTTTCTTTTGTCACACGGGTCATTAGATTGAATCATTAGAAGTAATATAGTGCAATTATATGGGTTCAGTTCATTTTACGAAGTTCATTAGTTTAAATACAAGGTTCTTGTAGCCTTTGTTGGGGGACCAAACGATCATCTCGGTATCTAAACAGTTAAATTAGTTAATCTGGTTACTGGGTAAATTACATGTATCATTTGACTGACTCTATGCCAAACAAAAGTTTTACTAATGTACATCTAAAGGTATACTGATTAAAAAACTTCGAACATCAATTTAATCCTAATAAAGACTACTTTACCTTTTGTGCGACTCATCTTATAACAAAATTACAAAAGAAAAAACATGGAGCGGTACATACAAAAGTAAACTTTTGTTCAACTAAAGAATACACAGGACTTGTGTCATGTGATTTCATATCAGAAATATTTCCAATTTCTTTTTGCACTTTATTTTATTTTTTTCGTCGATCATACTATACGCCTATTTGTTTAGTATGTGAGTTCCATTTTGTGCGATGGGAGGTGATTTAATTTTTGGATGTTCAAAAAATTTATTTTACTGATTATGTAATTATTACATGATTTTTTCTCATACTTTGATTCAACTTACAAAATATCGTAAATTATTTTCCGATAGATTATTCATCATTCACTTTTAAGTTCAAACATGTTTAATTCTAAAATCTTTTTATATTGTGATTGAAAGGATAAATACATTCTAAATCATTTTTAAATCTTTTAACATATACCTCAAATAAAGAATGTTAAATATATATATATACAGTTTTCACTTCTACGCTAAATTTTCTATTAGTATTCGTTGCCTATGTTCTACGCACTTTAGAACTTTCACACTTCCCAAACCAACACTTCAAGAATCAAAGCAAGAAAATGAGTTCTCGCTTCCGTTGTAAGAATCTAGGCAATGCGTCGCGATGTCGGTATGGGTTAGCATTTAAATATTCTTCCGCTAGGAAATAAAATCATGTATTTCTTGTCATCATGATTTCAGTAAACATGAGCAATTGGATTAAAGGTTGAATAATAAATATTTGCGATATACGTTTAAATCCGCACGAGACATTTTGGTAACTTTTTTTATGCGTTGAGAAATAGTTTATGGTATATCAAATAAACATGCACGAAAGCAACTAACTATACACACCACCTAAAGAAAAGCTGATGTGCGATAGGAAGCGACATATATAGTGAAAGTTTCATGATACACATCTCCTAAAAGGGAGATCTCTATGTGGATGGCATTTCACGTCATTGTGTCAATCTTGTTCTGGAGGTCTCCAAAGCAACATGTTCGGGAGCAAAGACGTTTGCGTCATGTGGTACAACATGAACATTTCCCATTACGGTACTGGTGTCATCATTTAGATTGACTCGTCATATCCACTTATTCTGATAGTGGACGTTAGTTACGCCAAACTATTATGAACCATGTGGCTCATGAGAAAGGTCGACAAATGGTCAGTATGTCCACCTAAAGATCCTGTATTCAATGTCCACTAAATAAGAGTATAAATATATATACAGTTTTTTTTACTGTGATTTTAGTTCCGGTTGCAGGCTCACTAGACCTTTAATATATAATCAGTTACAAAAAAAAACATGAAATGAATCTGAAACCTCAGATTAAGTGTTTAAAGCAATATAACTCACTAAATCACAACACAAACGTTGAATCAACCAATTTTGTTATGTTTCTTAAACTTGAATTAATGCAAAAGATTTTTGATAAATTACAACAACAGCGTAAGCATTCTAATGCAAAAGGAAGTCGGCTTGAATCTTTCATAGACAAAGCCGGCTTAGTACGGAGGACGGTCAGTGTGACTGTCCCGGAATCCACTCTATTTTAATATTTTATTTTTTATTAATATATACCATATTAAATTTATATATTATAAAATATGAGTGTAAAATTTTAATTAAAACTCAAACAAAAAACATGCATATTAACTATTTTATATACAAAAATAATATTAAACTAATATAAAAACTAACTTTATTAATATCTAAATAGAAATTAAAAGTTAATAATTTTAGGGTTTGAAATTTTTTTTTGATAAGTTGGTGACCTTTTTTATAACATTGGGCGAAATTTTTATTTTTTTTGTCCAAAGACCCCTAATAGTGTTGAGTTGGTCATGTTCATAGATAGAGTCGTAAGTGACAACTTCAACTTCTTGCATAACGCTTTATCAAACTAATATAAGTTTGTGTCTTTATCCTTATATTTCACTTAATTTTATGTATGGATTTAGCCTATGGTTTGTCGTACGATGTTGCTATTATTTTTATAATCGTTTGAAATTAGTAACGAAATCTTCTTTTTTTTTTTAACATTGACTTAATTAGTAATGAAATCTTGGTGAGAAGAAAAAAAATCCTAGTTGAAAAAGAATAACAATAAAGTCAAGTTTGATAAATATCTTAAAAGGAAATAAATTATTTTATCCTATCAACAGTTATAGTAAATTCAACGTTACTACAACGAAATTAAATGAACAAATTAAATATACGTTGACTGTTTTAAGAATTTTGTTCTTTTTAAAAAGGAAAAAAAAACGAAAGAAAAGAAAGACAAAAACCCTCCTCGGGGGGCTTTTAAATGCAAAAGACCATCAAAGTCTCTCTCTCTCTCCCAGCATCGTCACGCTCACTCCTATGGAAGAAGAAAACGTAGAACAAGAAACCTCCTTCTCATCTGAATCTGCTCATCCTCTCTTCTCCTCTTTCATCACTCTCTCCACTCTCTTTCTCATCTACTCTCCTAATGCTTTCCTCCAAATCCTTCTCTCCCCTGTTCTTCTCATCTCCATATCCCTTCTCATCTCTCTTCTCCACCTCGGATCCACCACCCGAGAACCGAACACCCGACCCGGAAAAAGCAAAGAAAGAGAAGCTAAAACCGTGAAGGAGACTGAAGAAGAATCTGATGTTTTGTTTGACGTTTATTCCTTGTCCGAAGCAACCAAACAAGATTCCGACACAAGACATGAGTTTTTGGAGTGGGATTTAAGAGCGCCATTGGAGGTTATACACGAAGAGGACGATGAAGAGGATGATCCGACCCGGTTTAGAGAAATGGAGAGATACCCGTCGTTGTCGCTATGTTATCCAGAAACAGATTCTGGATCGGATTCGGATTCTTCGTCGGAGTTTACTTTTCCGGAGATGAGTAGCTGGATGTCGCCGGAGAAAATGGGATACAAGTGGGAAGAAGAGGAGGAGGAGGACGGAGGAGCAGCTGGTTTGATTGAGATAAAGCTTGACGATGAGTTTAAGAAGAAGAGTAAACGGAATCAAACAGAGATGGATTTTCATGCAGAGGAAGAAGGTTTGATCGAGATCGATCTTTTTACATGATCATCGTGAGACTGATTGATTGATGTTATTTCTTTTTTTGTTGCTGTCAAGTTTCATAATGATTTTGCTGATTAGATAGGGAAAAAAAAAAAGGAATGGTATTGGCTAATTTCTATACAGGTATTATGTATTGTACAATTTGATATATGTGTGTGAGGATTAATTCGAAATTTTGAACTTCTACAAAAAGGATTAGTCTCCTCGTAATTAAATCAAATATTTATTCAATAATCGGAGAAGTAATGTATCTAAAAAGTTGGAAGAAAACAAGTGAGGCAGAGTGGAATCAAGAAATTTACAAAGACAAGAAATGGACCAAAGAAGTATAGATGTAGTGAAAATGGTGTTTACACTAACAAAATGACATGTTTACTCGTCGGCTCGTCCCACTTACATAAACTCAACTCTTGTATATACAAAGACATACAAGTTGACATCCAAGGTTAGGAGTCTTTCTACATTTTGTAATGATTATGTGTTTACGTTGAGTTAGAGTATCATCAGTTTAGCTACCTTAACTTTTTAAAATAATTTTATTATTATTTGCTTGCAAAAAGAAATGGGACGATTATATTGTAATCGCAATGATAGAAATTCGACAACCCATTAGGTAACAACAGTCTTGCGTTATACAATTATACAAACACCGACTCATCAACATTCATTTTGATATATAGATGGTACAACTTGATTAGAATATGCATTTAATATTTACCAACATTTACAAGACTATTTGATTCGTCTTGTCTCTCTCAGTACCACGCACACCGTCACAAGTAGAGAAGAAGAAAAACGACATGCATTTTCTGTTACTCCTCTCTTCTTGGGACCCTCAAAATCCCACTTAGTTGGCCACATTTTCCTAATTTTGTATGTTTCTTGAAGGATTTGCTTTGCTTTCGCTCCTCTACTACCTAGTGGCACTTGTGGAACCGTGTGGTTGCGGCAATTCACAACATTGTAAGGAAAAACAGAAACTGAAAACTTAGTTTTACTTCTCACTACGAACGTTCTGTTATTTTTCTTTTAATGGTTTTAAGTTGCAAAAGTTTATCCTAGCGTTTTTATTTTTAGCTACTGCTTAATGGAAAGCTTTTCTTGTGTCTTGACAAGCAGAAAAATGTTGAGATGTACAGTAAGTAAAGCCAAAGTACAAGTCTTATTCGGAGTTTTGGGAAACAATATTTGCCTGTTTGATTATTAAATCAATACATAATCAAGAATGAGAGAAAAACAGAATGGTTTTAAATCATTTTGTCAGATAAGGATCATCCTTAAACTTAGCATACGATGGAAGATCAAGAGCTTTCTCTGCAACTTCCCTGTCCTCGTGAATTTTTGCAACTAAACTCTCCAGTGAAGGGAAGTTAGCCTACAATATGATGAACATAACATCACAGAATTATATACGAATGGAAAGTGATAATAACAAGGTAAAATAAGTTACCTCAGGACGTATATAGCCAACGATTATAAGACGTAGCTCTTCTTCATAGAAATCTTCAGTGAAATCGTGAAGCAACCATGGCTCCTACGTAAGCATAGGATTGAAGTTAAAGAAAACAAGCACTGCAAGAGTGAACAAGTTTAAAAAAACGTTTCATATAATATAAACTCACAATAGTTTTCTCGGTGTTGTTGAAATAAGGATTCCAACCAATGCTCATGACCATTTTAAAGACACCTCTCGTTGCTAACCCTGCCCAACCAAAGTACACGCCTGAAGGATGTTCCACTAGCTCCTCCGCATAATCCTTTGTTGACAAGTTTGCTGAAAACAAATCCAACAATAAGAAGAAATGTCATACAAAGATATAAGAGAAAGAGTCAGGTTCGATGAGTATTGTGCAGACCTGTTGGGATTCCGAGTACTTTAGAGCCACGGCCAAATCCTTTGATAACTGGACCTCCAATACGCCAAGGATCAATTGGTAAAGTGTTCTCAATCCCTGCAAATGCAACTCAAAGTCTTTTCAACTGAGAAGAAAACTAGTGACTTAGTGAGCGAAGTTTGTGAGTGTTTGTTTACAGTCTTGAAACGGAGGAAGACCCCATTTTTCAGGTTTTAAGTCAAGCAGAGAATTAATGACTTCATCGGCAGATGTATAAAGATGTGTTTGTTTAGGCAGAGAAGGCACAGCAACCACTGTTGCCCCAGCAGCTTTACCAGCCGAAACCCCAGGCCTGCCATTTCAAACTAACTATTATCACTCAATAATAAACCAAATACTCAGCTACAAAAACAATAAGCTGAAATTTAAAGACTCACACAGAATCCTCAATAACCAAACACTCTCCTGGATCTTTATTCAACTTCCTCGCTGCTTCAATAAAACTGTTAACCGCAACAAAAAAAAAAGTCAATCAGCGTCATCATTACAAATCGTAAACTAACCAGTCTTTTGTTTGAACTTACATATCAGGAGAAGGCTTTCCTTTGGAAACCTCATCACTACCGATAATAACCGAAAAACATTCCTTCCAACCTAACACAAAACAAAGATTCAGAAACCATAAAACAACAAAACACAAGCTCATTCCTTCAAATAACCAAACCTCTCACCTTCATGAAAAGAAATCTTGGATTCAATATTAGCCCTAGAGGAATTAGAAGCCAAGGCCATAGGGACACCATGCCCTTTCAAATGCCTAATCAACCTATTAGCACCAGGAAGAGACTTGATCTTATCCATCCTACAACAAACAAAAAAAAAAAAAAACTCAAAAACCATAGAATCAAAAAGCAAAAAGAAAAAAAAGGAGGGAATTTTATAAACTAACTGAGCAGAGAACAAAGGGTAAAACTCAGAATTAAACTCATCAACACCACAAGGAAGTCCATAATCTTCAACAATTGTAGTCGCTGCTTCTAACGGAGTCTTCCCTACTATCTTCAGCGCTTCTCTTCCGTCCCATTGCTTTCCGTATTTACATAAATACTTTCTCAATATGTCACCAACCACACCATCTACAACATAACACAATCCATCAATCGAAAAATCAAATTTACAAGAAGAGGAGCTGAATCAAGTATATATATATATACCTGTGTTGATTAGGGTTCCATCGAGATCAATTAGAACACAAGACGAGAGCTTCTTCAAGGAATTGCTCACCGACATTATTCCAGGTAATAATATGTTTATACACTGTATGTAAATTTACAATACAATCCTTACAACCCGACGGATTAAGAGAGGACGACGAGCAAAGAGGAACAAATCACGAAGCAGACAAGAACTGAATAGAAAGGGTTGAGAAGTTGTACACGTAAGCTAGATCCTTAGCATCTTTGTTGATTTTAAAGATTCCTGGTTCGATATCCCGGTCCTACCGAACGTTCGAATTAGATACTGGGTCCTGATGACCGGGTTTTTGATTCTATTAACTGGTACGGTTCAAGTAAAGAGAATCGGTTTAGATAGAATTATGAATTTAGCCAGGTTGATTCTACCTCCTCTCTGTCACTTTTTATTAGTCTTACTCTTAACATGAACATTTCATTAACAAACCAGTAAACCACCCAAAGTTTTTTCTTTTTACATGAAAAAGTTTCAGTTTTTTTTTTACCAACATGATCTTAGGGTTGCATTATGAATGGGGAAGTTAGTAGAGAAATTTAATATCTTGGTCTCTTCTTCTTCACTTGTTCTTAGACAGAGTCAACTGCTTCGCCTTGTTGCTGTGCAAGATATCTCTCTCGGCGCTCCTTCTGTGTTTTATTAGGGTGGAGAGACCACAACAATGTCAGATTTTCATCTAATGGAAAGAGACAAAGGAGAAAGAGTCTTTGAGATATAGCAAAGTGTGACTCACCCATTCATCGATTACAAGCCCTTCTCCAATCATCTTTGGACCTGTTTCCTCTGGTGGTTTCTTTCTTGCTTCCACTGCTGCATCTGCTTCTGCTAGCTGACGCTTCAGTTTCTCCAGTGCCTTCAACATTCATCACATCGATAGTTAGAGAAAGAAATCGCAGAAACCAAAACCAACAGTGTCATTAAGAATTGAGTTCATGTGCATAATGTTTCAGATAACTCACAGGGTTGGGGCGCTCTGGATCCAGGAAAATCACACGCAATATTTGCTCCTTAGATACATCTTCCTTTTGTTCATCAAACTGTGAAAAACAAAAGCAAAAGCAACAGATATTTCTTTTAGATTAAAAAAAAAAGATTCAATAGAGCCTTGGAAATGTAAGAACATGACAAACAATATCACAAGTGCTTTGTTTACATTTCTGTGCCTAGAAAGTAGGCTGGAAATCTTTACACTTGTAATGTTTTAGAGAGGGATTAAAAATCATATGTTCCAACTGGGTACTGACTACTGACATGTTGTTACTACCGTTATCCAGTTCATAGGATATATCATAAGATGAACATACCAGCTCAGGCACATAGTCCATTGGACCTTTCACCTTCAAGCTCATGATTTTAAACTTGACTCTGCTCCTTTGATCCATTGGCTTCTCATTATTCTCAGGAGGCTCAACGAATTTGAACACTGTATGTTTCAGAAAAAAAAGATAAATCATCACAAACATAATCTTCTAGAACCACTGCTTTAATAGCATCATCAAGAAGAATAAAAAACGCAGTGAGCAATTACCAGTGGCGATAATAGTCTCTCCAGGAGCAAGAATAGCACCTGGTGGACGCATGAAGCAACTCTTCGGTGCAGTTGTTTGAAACTGAAAAATAGCAATGAGAGTAAGCACAAATGCAAAAACACCTTTACAACCTAACAAAAAAACATACCTTGAAGGCTACATGTGATTTGCTGGTATTTTTAATCTTAATAGCACTCCTCACTTGCTTCCCAGGCTCATCTTCACTCAACAAAAAAGTAAATAATCATATTCAGTAATCAAGAATTACTAATCTGATATAATCAAAGTAACAAACCATTTTCATTAACAACATATATATACCAAAAAACTTCCTAATTTAAAAAATGCTGAAAATGTCATCTTTAGAGTTAAGATTAGTAACATTCAGGTCAACGCCTAGTCTTCTTCTAACGTCAGAGACATACAACAATTAAATCAACAAAGCGAAAGTTTAAAACTTTATTTCAAAGTTAAGTCAATATCATATCTTTTATCCAAAAACAGATCGAAACTTTGTTTTGTTACAGAAACAACCCTACAATTCCAATTCATATAAGAGATTCAAACAAAACTCACAAGGAAAATAGAGTTTCTCCGACGGATCAAGCTTCAATCTCCTTTTCGTAGGCAGAAACGACTTAGCAACAGATGATACCGAAGGAGAAGGAGTCGGTTGCTGATTTTGACCCGATCCATCACCATGAGGCCCGTTATAACCAATCTGATGATGATGCTGGTGATGATGATGGTGGTTATGGAGATGAGAAGATGTAGTAGAAGAAGAAGAAGACGATGGAAACGGAGACGTGGCGGCACTTGATGCTGCGTTGTTTCCTCGACCGCTAGAGTTTCGAAACGGGATCTTGAAGAAACCCCAACCTCCTCTGCCATCGGAAGCTGGTTTCTCCTCCGTCGTCATAGTCATATCTTAGGAACATGCAATTTTTATTTTTCCGACAGATGAGTTGACTTTGTTGTGTTTTGTTTGGATGAGTAGAGAGGAGATCGGACGCGAGAGGGTGATGGAAAGTGGATTTAATTAGTTGATTTTCGCGTCCGTGTTTTCGTTACTGATTTTGTATATAATATAGTATTATATTTATGAGATTATACAATTTGATTTGTGTGTTTTGGGTGCTTGATTAACGGAAGAACATCGAATCGGTAAGTGGATGGTGGGATTAAAAGCGACAGTGACATACTACAAAAAACGACAGCGTATTGGGTTCTCTTCTTTTTTTTTTTTTTGAACACATTTTTGAACACATATTGGGTTCTCTTCCAAAGTATTTTTCTGTACTAGTTATTACAAACTTTTTGTTTTGGATTCTCTTTCCAGGTCTTTTAGATATGCACGTTTAATGTTTAGTCATGGTCATGGATAGTATTCAGAATTGTTGAACACCTTTTAGTGTATAGTCTGACATATCGTACGGCTTAGAGTTTATGATATATACTTGTATCTTTTATTAGTCAATCTATTTTTTCAAAGTTATATAGTATGAGGTTAGGATTTGTTATTTATTTGGGTGAATTATATGTTTGGAAGATGGAACTCAAATAGTAAAATTGCATTCTTTTTCAATATTGCGGTTTGTCAACTAGAGTCCAACAAAACTCTAGCTATAAGCTAAGGCTAGTGCCAACCTATGTTAGATCAAGGTTCAGCTTGGATCTTGTTTGTGGTGGGAAATGGAAGACGAGTAAACAGTTACATATTTTTATGGAATAACATGTGAGTCGATTCTTTATATGCTCCGACCAGAACATAGTCAGTGGTCGGAGAAATGAAATTCATGAAGACGGAATAGACGAGTTGGTTTTGAACAAGGTGTGTGGAGCGATCAACAACTAATATGTTTACATAGAGGTTAACTTTATAATTTTGACCCAAAAAAAAAGAATTCACTTTACAAATGAAGAAGCTAATTTCTTCGGTTTGACTCAACATTCACATTGAAAACAAAGAAGCTAATATTTATAGTTCGTCACAACACTTTCAATGGACAGTCAAATACTATTTTGCACCCTTTTTTTTGTAACACACTATTTTGCACCTTAAAATGTAAGATTATATTAAAATGGAAAATCGGGATCATCCCATTGAAGAACGGCAGATTCCATGTTCTGCTCTCTCTTCAGCTTATCTTTAAAGAACCAATCGCATATTTTTCCTGCATTTAACTCTTCTATTGAACATCCTTCTTGCTCTGATATCACTCTTAGTAAATTCAACGATGATATCTGTATCACTCCCATTTAAAGATGTAACCTAAGTTAATGCGATATTATGCCTTAAAATCAATTGTTCATATTTTTCCCAAGTCATTTAATCAATAGACATATATATATATATATATATATTTATATATATACACTATTGCATGATAGATTGTTGATTATGGTCCATCCGTTTTTTGAATATATATATGTTTTAAGTTTTTTTTTTTTTTAGTTTCATAAACATGAATGTATTCAATTTACACTGTTCTTTTACTTCTAGTTCATATCAATTAAATTCACTAGAATATAACTTTTGGTTAAAAATCAACAAAATTATAGATTAACGTAAAATCTGGCATTGTGTATACTTTTTTTTAAGTATGTGAAAAAAACTAAAACACACGAAATAATGAGAGTATAATTTAAATTACCGTTAGTCGACAGAGAAACTTCTCGTGTGCACCAAGGCCCGAGATTTCGACAAGACCGGCTTCTGCTAAGGTCAAAAAACTTCTTCTCTCGGTCTTGCTTTGATCTCCGGATTTTTCTTCTCCGGAACAAGCTCTTACCAAACACAATCCCATCTTTCTTCTTCTTCCTTGTGTTCTTGTCATGAATGTAATATCATTTGAGCTTCCTTGTCGAGTCCTCGCTAAAGTCTTGTCTACATAAGAATTAAGGATGACGTTGGAGTGACGATAATAAGTGGCAATGTTCATAGTGACACCAAACTCCCTTTGCTTGTCTTTCTCGATGAGTTGGGAGAAGAAGATGAGGATAACACTTATCTGTTATGTTTGTTGTTTCTTGCGTTTGAAAATTTTAGTGGTAAACAATGATTTGGTATTTTGGGCCTTTTGGGCTTTAGGATCGTTTTGGGCGGTGTTGTCTTTTTATTAAATTAACACAAGATGAAGTTGAAATAACATTTCTTTAATTTAATCATTACTAGTATAACTTTATGCCATTGGGATAACTATAGCACTTTCAATAGAAATTCTTACAGCGGAGTTCTTATTGGAATATAAGAACCCGTCTCTTAATTTTAATTAAAAAAACAAAAAATCAATTTTAACTTTCTTATGTTCTGTTAAGAACGCTGTCGTAAAAATTCCTCACTAAAATGATCTAATTACCTCATAACTAGGAGTATTAATTTAATAAAATCATCTTTTATCAACTACAAAAAGGTAACTAATTATTTAGCATGGAAACCAACTCCCACCATTGTACGGATATGAATATCTTGATTCGATATATATGTAATTCTAATTATTAATCCTCCACACATAATAAAAATTTAGTGCAAGTCTTAACTTTAACTATTAGAAAACAGATGATTAAATGGGCGAATAGTAGATCCAATCAGAGATTTTTTTTTTCTATAGACCTTAACGTCTTATAAATACCAATCACATTCAACATCAAAATTAACACAAAACACATCTTCTAAGGCAGAAGAAGATCTATGGCCATAACATTTACTAGCCTCAACAATGTTAAAGTCTTTCAAACTTCGAAGCATTACACAACACAATCCGGTGAGACGTTGTAGATCACATTTTCCGATTAGAATGTAAGTTCACCTATTAACATGTAGCTCCATTATAGTGTCATATAAAAGATAAATATTAAGTTTTCCAAATAACAGTTTATGTTTTCATTTAAAAAGGTTTGTTAAGAACATTATCTTCATTCTTGCGGTATAATTTTTGAGGCGTATCTATATTAAGTAATTAGATGAATTTCATTTTGCATACATAAGCTGAACAACTTATAAATCGTTAAAAGCATAACACATTTATTTAAACATACATATACATGATTACTATCCATTCTATTTCAGTTACCTACCATCACTTCCATTCCTAACACACTTGACACTACAACCATACAAGACTTAATAGATTGCTTACTTTACAGTTTTACAATAAGCTTCTCACAATTACTGAAATCTCGTTCCCATCTGTTCAGGTTTGATTAAATTGTTTACATTATAAATTTGAAATCCCATCTGTTCAGGTTGGATTAAATTGTTTACATTTTAAATTGGAAATACCATTTGTTCAGGTTTGATTAAATTATTTACAATATAAATTCATTTATTTAGCCTCATTTAAACAAAAGTACATAATCTATGTAGAAAAATATAATAACCCAACAAAATTATGCTTAATATTTAAATAATCTTAAATTATTGACAACCAATTTTTTTTTACACAGACAAAAAACCCGATCTTTTCAAAACGGATCAAAATACAATTTTTTTATTAAAATAATCGAGTATTTTTATTGATAAATCTAATTAGATATTCAAAGTACGAAACTGACAAACTATTAACATGCTAATTTGATCAGACTAAAGAAAAGCTCTTAATGAAAAAAGTTCTTAATCTCAATCTCACCATAGATGCAATGTGTTGTAATGATAAAAATATTTTTGGATCAAACCAGGTTGTATCAAGCTACCCAAAGCTATGCCACCTCTGCAAGCAATAGCGCTGGGTTCTTTTTCACTTCAAATCAGTGTTTTAGAATACCGTATCGACACCTATTTAAGCGGCGTTTAGGCAACAGTTATACCCGGTTAGGAGAATTATAGTAATAAGGGATTTAAGAAAATGGTTGGATCGAATCTAAGATAATTTGCTCGTAATACGAGAGCAGGGTCTTATTCATATTGATTTAATATATATTATCAATATATACAGTCATATATAATTTATAAAGTTAAACTACTTCAAATTAATCTGAAGCATTTTGTAATTTTGGCAATACTTATATGTAGTCCAGAGATATTTGATCAACTAATCATGAAATGAGTTAGTAAGAACGAATCTTCTCAATTTTCCAGAGAGTTCTTGAGTGTGTTTGCTGTCTTTTCTCCAAATTTCATATGATAAGCTTTAATATTATCAAGGTGTCAATCAACTCTATTATCGAACAAATCCCACAAAATTGACCAATATATAGTTAAATTAATACGTAACTTCGCTATATACATTAAATATAATTTGCATGGAGTCTTACGTAAGTGCCTTAAGTGGCAACATCAACTGCACAACCATTACGATTTCGTATCAAGTTATATCGTTTCTTGTATACGGACAAATGGATCTTTGGTCATTGTCTGCTGACTCTGCTCTTTTCAATTGTTTAGGGTTCACAGGTTTTTGTTTATACGAATCAGAAAACTTTGAATAATGAATAATAATGAATCTATACTGGAACAATGTATACTTTTTATTAATATATCCTCTTTCATATTTTATTTGAAGAATTCTTTGATAATTAAACATTGTATCTGTGTGGCTCTTAAATACTATTACCTAACTGTCCGTCGTTACGCGAAGATAGACGGTGAGTGCATTTGCGAATGGATGAAAGTGCCAGGAAGACACCAGATGATAAACGCAATTGTTTACATGAAATAAGAACATTTGAAGTTTAGAAACAAAGAACATGAGAAGGTAAAAAGCTTCTATTTTCATGTAACTGATAAAGTTGTTAATTGCGATATTTAGTTGCATAGTATTATGAACCATGCAGACAACCGGACCATATTACATATATATAATTAGTTGATTAGTTTGTCAAAACGTTAATATCAGCTAATGAGATTTGGTCAACTATATATATACACGTGGGCTACTCGTTGTGGCAAATGATCCATCATGCGCAAGCAAAGCCCTAGCTAGATTTGACACAATATAGCCTAATATAGCATTAACACCTAATCTTATTCTTAACTAGGACCGGCCCGCCCTACGGGCGGGTTATACTTTACATACGATCTTAGTTATTGAGTTTCGTATTGTTTGTGGGATATACTTAACAAAAACTTCTTTGTTTGTACATAATAGATATTTGTTATTATTTCTGACTTTCCATTTGTTAAATGTGCAAATCGATGTAATGTTAGGAATATTCATATAGTTGTAGTCTTCGTGATATGTAATTTTGACTAATGTTATATGGGTTATACTTTTTTTTCTTTTTACGTACTGATTATTAAATTTTTAAAAAAAAACGGATTAAATTTCGTGCCAGATGATATGAATAGTTTTTAAAAAGTATAATATAAGTTAAATAATTTTTTTATTAAGATAGTATTAAATGCAATATCTATTATTTTTTATATGAAAATTTGATAACAAAAGCTATGAAGACAGATGATTTGTTCTTGTTGTTTGTTTAAACCAAAGTTTTTTTATTTGTAACGATTACATTGTAAATATGAAATTAAATGTTGGTAATGGTATAAAAGTGACAAATATATTATTGTAGTATGGAAACATGTTGTCTACGATATCGTGACCCGGCATGTTGGACATCTGATGTTCATTTGGACTCAGTCAACAATGCATTGGTGATGATGTATATGGTAACATTGCAGTTCATTTATAGAATTACCTGTTACAATTTTCTCCATGCATACTGTGCACATTTCACCTTCTTCCATTAGTGAGGGCGTTCTCTTCTCAGAATGGAGGTTTGTTGTAGCAATGTCGACGTCAATTCTGTGGACTGAATGTGGATTGAAATCTGTCAGATATAATATGATGTGTACACTCTTCTCTTCATAATTGGTGAGACGATTAAGCTCGGTATTAATAAATGAGGATGCTGATTGTACGATCCTTTCAGCAAAGTATATGCTCATGTCATAGTATGTGAGCATAGATGATAGTTTCGTTTTGATTTAATCATCTAGGGTCGGTCTGCGTTTCGCGCGGGATATGATCTTCGTGTGCTATATATTAATATATAATTATATTTTTTTATTGTATGTGTTTCATGTCAAAATTTGTAAGAAGAATGTGTAATAATGTTGATAGATTTAAAGTATTTCTAGGTGTAAAAAAGTATAAATATTAAAAATAGTTATTTTAGATTTTGATGGTTGTGTTTAACTTCAAGAAAATATATTTTTTCTAGTTGGACACTCTCTGGCCATTGGGGTTACCATAAACCTAGATGTTTATGTATCTATTATAAAGAATAGATCCCAACGTCTTATATAATTTTTGGTGCTCCGTAATAATAGAACCAGTATTTGTATTTTTCATAGATGGATCAAAAACACGATGGAAATGCGAGCATTGTTTTTAGCAATGTGTAATCTGAGACTTCTGCAATGAAATTCATTTGACTGTTCGTGATTGACGAATTGGAGATTAGTTGTCTTTATGAATTATTACATGTAACTTTTATCTGTTTTTATTAAGTTTATATAAAATACATTTAACATAATGTAATGTCTCAATTTTTTCTCTATAAACTAATCTTTATTTATTTTAATTTAAATAAATATATCAATAACAACATTGTATCCAAAAAGGAAATATTGTCAATGTAAAATATATAATTAAAATTAGTTGATTTTATGCGATTTACTTCAATTTAGATTACTTCGTAAATGATAAAATCTATATCAGTTGAAGTTTTTTTTTAAAACAGTATTAGTATAAGTATTATTAAGTTGTAGAGTTACACTAAATCTTACTAATTTTTTGGAAATTATTGTAAAAAAGATCTGAATTTTATGGATCGAGTTTGAATGATCGCAAAAGATCCTTGGTTGGGTTGTAGTTATGCAAGTCTCTTTTAGTTTTGTGGTATTTTGTTAATTTTTTGGACAGGAGCGTCAGAGATTTTTTTTTTTTTTTTGGCATGAACATTTGATTGTAAATAAAGTAAACAATTTAGAGATAATGCACCGATTTCATAGTGTTGATGAGAAATAGTTATGAACATACTATATAGTCACATTTCAAATTCTAGGTAAAATACAAGATACAATATCGTTGTTAGCTTGGTTAAACNTTAATTTTTTGGACAGGAGCGTCAGAGATTTTTTTTTTTTTTTTGGCATGAACATTTGATTGTAAATAAAGTAAACAATTTAGAGATAATGCACCGATTTCATAGTGTTGATGAGAAATAGTTATGAACATACTATATAGTCACATTTCAAATTCTAGGTAAAATACAAGATACAATATCGTTGTTAGCTTGGTTAAACGCAATAATAACCAAGCAAGACAATGTCACACGTAAATTATTTACTCTATTTTATTTACTTATAAATCATGTATCAAACCACCAAAGCCCATTTAGCATTATCAACATTTCACATATTAATTCATATGACTTTTTTTTAGCATCTGGTTTGGTTCCTCATGCTTCAAGACTCGTCCATGAACCTACTTGATCTTATGAACTTCTTTTAGAGAAGAACCACGATTGTGATTGTGATTGTGATCCCAACCTCCGCCCACGTGAACAGTGTGTCATCGTCTAGTTTCTGAGATGCTCTTCTGACAATCCTTTGCTCACCACTTCTAGAAGCTTTTGCCGCAACCTCAGCCGTTGCTAACAATCCTGCAATGGGACTCACATTGACTGCTTCAGCTGCTTCTTTGATTATCTGATCATCAACCTATGGTATCTGCTGTGGCAGCGGCTGCTCTTCCATTACCGTTATTGCTTCCCGTCACTCAGTGGAAGAAGACGTTTGGCTACATTCTAAAGGAATAGGTTTTGAAACCACAGTTGCTTTGCGAAGGATGTAGTGAAAAATCTGCACTTATTAAGGGGACATGATTACTGAAGTTGTTTCTAAAGTTGAAGATGAATAATAGATAGGCCGTATCACTAAAAGAAAACATAAAATAATAGACAGTAGATTTGTTTGAGAATAACTGAAACCTGTACATGTATATATTTTGAAACACAGAACAATAAGAGCTGTGATTTAAGTTAAAAACATTTGTGAGTAATGTTGATACTCTTGTTTATGCAAGCACTTACAAGCTGGAGATTTTTGATCTTATTTAAAGGTTAAAAGCCATTATTATCAGAAGCTATTCCTTAGGTTTATGAAGACAAAATGCTATCCCATACTCGACAGGCTCAATAGCTCAAATTACCAAGAAAACATATATTCAAATTCATATACTCTTAACCAAAATATTATGCATAGAAGGGTCTCTAGAGGGGTGTATACCTCATCAATAAGTTCTTGAAGTTCAGGAGAGCCAAACTTTGGCGGTGCCTTTAGTGATTTGGTGGCTAATGTACATCACACGTCTTTTGGAAAGTCTACTGATCCCAGTTTGCAATTGCAAAGAGCAGAGAAACAAATCTCAACCATAAAAACAGAGAGCTGATTTTAACTTCCAACCATATGCAAAATATGTTGTTTTCACAAAATATCCAATAAAGAGAGAAACCAGCATATATATATATATATATATTATATACGTGAGGATACTTCTCTTTCGTGATGCCTAAATCAAACACCATTTCTAGATCTATGGAAACAGAATTTCAATCAAACATAGGGAGTAGTAAATCATTTACAATATAGATTTAATCAAACATCTCTCCCAAAATCTCAAAGGGAGTAATGTATGGTGATATACCTCAAGGGGAAGAGACATAAAATCATCCGATAGATTTGCTTGCATCTCCGTAACCTCCTGCTGAATCCTCTTTGCCGCTGGATTCTTCACGATTATACCGCCATCTAATCGCCGCAGTTCTTGCGGGGAATTAATCTGTCGTCGGAGTCCGTTCTGGCTCGATTCAGAAAAAATAATGCAAAGAAGCGGAGAGGATATACTGTAAGAGATATGCAGAGAAGAAGAGTCCAAGGTCAGGTATACTCACATATTTATACCGAACACACCGCCTCACAAATCAAAACAACGCATTGAAGACTATATATCGTATCATTTCAGATAACGTGGAGAAACTCAGAAGTCACCGCCGTCGATCTCCACGACGGAAGAATGGACTCCGACGACGGATTTGCTTGCCTCTCCGTAACACTTGCTTGACTTGAGATAAGAAACGAAAGCCCTTGTGTTAGCCATGTCTTAAGTCGGAAAGCGATCTAGAAGAATTTCGTAAATAAAAGAGGATGAAGGAGATTAGATAAAAGAGGATGAAGGAGATGAACACTTACACATACTTATACAGATCGCGAGAACAGAGCACTGATGTCGACGTAATGGAAGATCAAGGATATGGAGAGATAACGCAGGCGGTAAGAGATTCTCGGGCGATTGGCAAGAGTCGCCATCGCTAGAAGAGAGGAGTCGATTTCCCAGGAAAAAAACGAATTAGGTTTCGGAGAGTCAGTGTTTTGGGTCCATCACGAAACTTAAGAAGACNTACAGATCGCGAGAACAGAGCACTGATGTCGACGTAATGGAAGATCAAGGATATGGAGAGATAACGCAGGCGGTAAGAGATTCTCGGGCGATTGGCAAGAGTCGCCATCGCTAGAAGAGAGGAGTCGATTTCCCAGGAAAAAAACGAATTAGGTTTCGGAGAGTCAGTGTTTTGGGTCCATCACGAAACTTAAGAAGACGGTACCAATACGATGGCAACACGTGTCGTCTTCTCATTCAATGACTGTCCTACGTGGACTTAATGACGTGGACACCTTAAGGAGAGATTCAACTCTTCTTTATATAATAGATTTTTAATTTAGATGAACTCATTTATTTATTGGCTCAATGGCATAATTACGCACCTTATAACGATTTCATTTGTTGTTGGACCCGATAGATTCTATAGTCTCAAACGCCCAGACATAACCCTAATATTACGGATCGTTTATGTTATTTAATTTAACATTTTTAAAATAATCACTAACATATGTTATAAGACCTCCGGAAGAAATGGTTTCATAAGAGTAACTCCATTTAGTATGTGTGAGATGTTCCTAATAATTTGGACAGATAAGAATAACATGTTTAGTATATAATTTTATGATGCTTACATTAGATTTAGACTTTTAGTATTCCGTGGCTATATGTAACTCAATAATATAGATTTGAAAATTATACGACTATTCTAATTATTCATAAATCTACTGTTACTAATTATTATTTGAAGGTTATGATCAATAATTAAGTTGTGTTTTATGTATTATCATACTACTGAATATATATTCATTGAGATGATATTTAAAAGAAAACATAACATTGATTTTGTATATTTACTCACTACACACCATTAGAATGGTCGTAGACGTGATGTAGTGGTTTTGTGTGTGTTCATACTCGAGGTGTGAGATTAGCATATCTATGTGAAACATCATTTTCAGCCCATGAAATTCAATATCCACAACATCAAAGTTTGTATGTCAGTTAAAAGGAGATAAAGGTGAACACGAGTCGCAAAAGTAGTGGTCCAAACAAGCGGCCGATGGTCCCCTCACATCATGCCATGCAAATGTGCCAGTCGTTTTATTTATTTTATTTAGCCTGAACAAAATGATCATATTACGTACTCTTGATTCATCACGTGAGCGTCTTTTTAAAGTGCGGACCCGGCTTCTGCGACGCCTTCTCCTTCTCTAAATTTTTTGACTCGTCCTGTAGGGGTTTTACTCTTTACAATTTGGTTTTAGATGAAAAATATCTAAATACTAATTTACATATCATGTTATATTTTTGTAAAAATCTCTTCTTCGGTGGTTTCATTAATACTCTACACTATAAAGTCTAAGTTTAGAATCATACAATATGTATATCGCCAATTATGTAGTGTACTCGAGAATTTTTTTCTTTTGAGAGAGAAATACTCTAGAACTTTTATTACTGAAGATTTTCAGCATGATGCAACGTAACTGTTAAACATGGATATTCATAAAGTGATTATGTATTGTACGAATTCAACAATATAATACAAGTAAAACTATCAGACATATGAATTTTCATAAAAGAAAACATTTAGAATTGTTTTATAAAAACATATTTTGTAATTGTTTTATAAAAGAAAACATTTAGAATTGTTTTATAATAACATATTTTTGTAATAGAGAAATCAGTGTTAAAACATGTTATATATATATATATATATATATATATATATATATATATCAAAATCTCTAGAAAAGCTAATAGGTACAAAATATTGGTCTTCATTGTATGGGAAACAAACAGATAGCAATAGCTATGTAATATGATTATAGAGTATGTCACAAATTCATTGGTCGATTATTTTTTTGTCTATAATTTTATCACAATCTCTCTACAATTAATATTTTCCAAATTTCGGCAATACCAAACTCCATTATTGTCACTCGTATTAAATGCGCTCTCCTCTGTCTCTATCATTATATGTGCATAGTAGAAGTTTGACTTTAATAAATTTTCCCATAGACCTTTACAATTGAAGCGAAACGGTTGGTCCAATATTTTATTTTTTTAACTAATGTATTTCTCTTCGTTTAAAAACATTTTATTCTCAGACTCATCAATTATATATACATAAAGTCAGTGAACCGTATCACTATTTCAGTTATGGAAAAGATTGTTCAAAACGAAATGAAGATCAATACGCAAAATTTATTTATTTTCACATGAGTCTTGATCTAAATTTTCTTAAAGGTGGAGAAGGGTTTTAGGCAAGTATCTTAGTACTATATAGCTCGAGCCGAAAAGAGTTAGGTTTTTAAAAAAATGTATTTGTAATGCATTTGTTATTTTTAGTATTATTGATTGCTGTTTTTTTTTGTAAAAGTTGAAAATTAGTCCCAGAGTAAAATATAATAGGAGTTGAAACTGAGAGGGGAAAACGAACGTGGCATCTTCATGTTGGCGACAGGTAATGTGAAACCATCCCACAAAGCTTGGAGAGCGACGCGTTTTTCTCATCGTCACCCTTTGATTGTGTTACCTTCATTATCAGAATTTGTTCTTATTTTTCTAATTATTCATAAGATATATATCATTATTTATAATTTATCATCTAACTAATACAGTAATACCAAAACTTATGCTTTAGCAAAGCTGTGAACAAATGATTTCCTTATAGCGTATTGCTTAAGAAAGTACCATAAATCTACAATTTTCGTTTTCACAGCAACATACTTTTAATTAGTTCTTAGACATATTAACAAGGAGGTTTAAAAACAAAACATTGAAGCGTATTTCTTCTAATTTTTTTTTCGAAATGAGACATTTTACAAACATTTAAGTATCATGTATACATTAAAAAAGAGTATATCGAATCTCACATGCTAGAACCAGAAATCAGTTTTTGTGTACACTTCCTAGAATGTTAAATCATTTTGAAGATAATCGATATGGTTATTGCTGAGAAATGAGAATAAAGGTTACTCTTGTTTTTCTTTCGTAGGTTGATTGACTCATATCATATGATTCACGATCATGATGAATAGGACTAGCAAAACTCCAGTTTTTCAACGTTACAGCTACATACTTTAAAGAGTCATCAAAGTTCCAATATAACAAGAAAGCTTATTAAGATTAATAAGACACTTTATTATATTTTCAACAAGCTGTTAATCACCGTTCCATCAAAGGTTTAGTAAGTTCAACAATACTGAAGAGGGAAAAGTGACAGTATTTTGTTTTCAATAAGAATCTTTCACAATCCTTTTTGTAACATGGTCGGTCATGTTACTTTTGAGTTTTGAGTTTGTTTGGTCTTTTACGAAATTCATAATGTTTTGTTTACATTTTCTTGAATATACATCAAACAAGGAATCAAATATCATCAGGAGATTGTAGATATAAAACAAATTTTTTTCCTTTTCTTTAACTGTATGCAGTGTTATGTGGTTTGTCTTTGCTCTATACGTACGGTTTCCAAATAAACTTCGTAAAACACTACTATAACAAACTCAAACTATAAGAAAATTCATCAATACAACAAAGGTAAAAAAAGAAAAGAAAAAGACATAATAAACAGATAAAAGCATCGTACTATAAACACATAATTTATTCTATTTTAGTATTTTTATTTTTCCTAAAAGGGACACGTATACCAATTGGGAAACAGAGGACGGCACCGAACCATATTGACTTCCCCTCTTCTTCAATCCCCTATATATACTTAGTACTTTCTATTACGGACCCTACGATCTTTTGTTTCTCTCTTCTCCATTACTTTTTTAAAAAACTCTCTCATTAGCTAATTATTGATAAAACCACTTCTCCAATTATTTGTGATTAAATATTAATCATCCACAAAATTAAAATGGGAAGATCACCTTGCTGCGAGAAGACAGGCCTCAAGAAAGGGCCATGGACATCTGAGGAAGACAAGAAGCTTGTTGACTATATCCAGCAACATGGATATGGTAACTGGAGAACACTTCCCAAAAATGCTGGTTAGTCTCTTAATTAGCCTCTAAACCATTCTTTTAGCAGTGATCTAAAAATTTGTATTTATCTCTTAATTATCAGGTTTGCAGAGATGCGGCAAGAGTTGTCGTTTAAGGTGGACTAATTATCTCCGACCAGATATAAAGCGAGGAAGATTCTCCTTGGAAGAAGAAGAAACTATTATTCAGCTTCATAGCTTTTTAGGAAACAAGTGAGCTTAGTTTTATCTTTTGTCTAAATATTTTCTTAATATTGAATTAGTCCAAAGATTCTTATGTGTTTTGTTTTTTTAATAACTATTTTTAGATGGTCTGCTATTGCGGCACGTTTGCCTGGAAGAACAGATAACGAGATCAAGAACTTTTGGAACACACATATAAGAAAGAAGTTGCTTAGAATGGGAATCGATCCAGTGACTCACAGTCCACGACTCGATCTCCTCGACATCTCATCCATCTTAGCATCATCTTTATTCAATTCCTCTTCACATCATGTGAACATGTCTAGACTCATGATGGATGTTCATCGTCAGCAGCAACAACATCCTTTGGTTAACCCCGAGATACTCAAGCTCGCTACTTCATTGTTCTCCCAAAACCAAAACCAAAACCAAAACCAAAACCAAAACCAAAACCAAAACCAAAACCAAAACCAAAACCAAAACCAAAACCAAAACTACATGGTGGATCAAGACATTAAAACCCACCAGAACCAAACGGTTTATCATCATGATGTTAACCAAGCCTACCATACTGATCACAATCAAGAGCTCCAATCTTGCATGCCGCCATTACCCAATGAAGTTCAGTTCAACGACATGAGTCATCAGTTCAATGGTTTTGGAGAGCAAAATTACGCTACAACCTCAAACACATCAGTCCAAGATTGCAATATTCCATCGTTCAACGACTATACAAACTCTAGTTTTGTATTAGATCCTTCTTATTCGGACCAAAGCTTTAGCTTCGCTAATTCGGTCTTGAACACGCCATCCTCGAGCCCGGCTACGTTAAACTCCAGCTCCACGACTTACATCAACAGTAGCAGTTGCAGCACCGAGGATGAAATGGGAAGCTATTGCAGTAATCTCATGAAGTTTGATATTTCCGATTATTTGGACGTTAATGATTTTCTCATATAATTTGGAGAAAAAGTAAAACTCATTGGCGGGATAGTTCTTTTACTTGTTGTAAATTTTCTATTTGAGTTGTTTTACATGTAAAATACAATTTGTTCTTGTTTTTTTTGTTGTTGTTTACTTGTGTTTTAGTGTTAATAGTACGTAAGACCATTTTTAGTAATGGAGTTTCCATTATTGATATCCAGCTATTTATTTAAATATTATATTTGGCCGGCTTTACTTAACAATTAACATAAGCAATAGTATCTTGTCGATATAATTTTGACTCAATGATATTCGTAATTGAAATGAGGTGCTAAAATTTCCTGATATAAATATTTTATAATTACATCGTTGACTTTTGTCATGTTTCCCAAAAGGTATTAATGGAAACGTATGAGCCAAATCATTATAGTCCAAATGATTCACCATATAATACTTTTTTAAAAAATATGATCATAAGATCCACCACATGCGTTTCCAGTCAGATCTTAAGTAAGTATATAAAATTAATCAATGATTGCTGGCATTATATCATCTTTATGATATAGGAGGCTACGAGTTACAAGCTGCGCTGCAAGTAATAATATGTAATGCTTTACAAAAATATGAATAAAGATATATATATCAAGATAATTCTGATTTTAATACCTAAACTTAATTTATGTAAATACTCTCTTTTGCCAACGAATCCACAGGACTTGTTTTTACGTTAGAGTGGAACTTAATTTCATGCTCCATAATCTTACAAAACCGAGTGATATTTTACTTCATTACTTGGAAATACAAATATATAACTATAGAAGCTACCATATAAGGAAAGAGAGACCCACTTACTATAATCCCGGAACAGGCGGGAGTCGCCGGCGTGTGCAGTGAATGTGCGGAAAGGTGTCCTATTATCTTTACGTGCAGAAGTTAAAGGAGACATAACTATTGTTTCATGGGATTACAGAAAGTACCTAATGAACTGAAGACACGTATCCAGTAGTGTCGATGACTTGCATGTAATTAAGGCAAAAAGAAAAGAAAGCCTCCATATTATTGAAATCACGGCGTAGGTTTTTAATCGCTTTACACGCGTAGGTATCAAACACCATTTAAGATAGAGAACACGTGGAACTCAATAATATAGATCGGTCCGCTTTTGTGTACAATTTTTTTTGGATGAGCTGTTTGTTTTTGACTGCTTGATTGGACATAAACAGTTAACTTTTTGTTTGTGTTTTTTTTCCTCTCTTATAAAACAAAATTTAAATAAAATAAATACTTTTTGACTGAACAAAAGCTGTGATTTTGACAGATATTTCTTTTTTTTCTTGTTTTCAATGGATCTTACAATTTTTTACATTTCTCTCTGTCAACTATTTATTAGAGGATGACTTTGTGGTGGTTCCATCCATCTTCTAGAGACCCTACTTTCTTCCCACTTTATGGTATAAGGAAACTCTTATGTTTGTTTGTGTGCTAAAATTTTACATGATTGTTCTAAAGGTTACGTGTTAAGGAATTATGTTACCAATACAGCTTTATAAGATACATACAAAAATGTCTAGTAGTTTTTTTTCCTATAACCATGAAGTTACCAAAAAAAAATTATCTCTAAAAACTAATCTTACGAAATTAATAATAATTCAGATTTCTTTGTCACTTAAAATGTCTACGAAAGGCCACTGATTCGGGCAGAAACTCCAGCCAGTTTCTTTGTCACTAGTTCAAAACGACTTGGTTATCTAGAAGTTTGATTTAATAAACATGTGATCTAAAAGTTACATGTCAATGAAACATCTTACCAATCTGACTTTATAAGATAAATACAAAAGTATATAGTATTTGCTCATATAAATTTTTAATAGATGTCTGGAAAATATTTAAAACGCAACAAATAAGATAACTGTTAATCATAACCGGATTCCTATGTTTAATGTTAGCTTAGCTCCTTTTTTGTTACTTCATTTAAGTTTCCACCTGAGTATTCTACCAATCAAAACAAAGTTCTAAATTGGATAAAACCCCAAAAGACATCATTTGTCGAAAAGGTTCGAAACAATAAGTAAACAAAGAATCGGATAAAACCTACCAACAATTTGAATACAAGTTTGGGCGGTCGCGTATATGAAGTTCAGACCCAGAGCAAAAAGGGGAACTTTGTTTTACATGCTCCCGTTTGTTTTCGTGGGTGCGTGTGTGTCTCCGTGTTCATGACAAAACAACAAAACGTGTTTTTCTTCGCATACAATTCGTGTTGTGTTTATATACGTAGCCACTTGATCTAGAAAAGAAAAGGTTGTGGTCAAATTTAGAGGTTCATAGGGTTAACCTAATTTAATATCCTCCTAAATTCAATATCTAAAGTATTTTCTACTACTAAGTCTATATGTAATTGGAGTAACACTCACGTTATTAAGTTCTTAAGAAAATAAATTATGTTTCCTATTAAATCATGCTGAGCACCAAAAAAATTGTTACGGTTCTATGCAAGAATATTACTCAATACTTCTTATAAAAAGAAATGAAAAATTTGTATGACTACTATAAGGGTTACAATACATATCTTACAAAAGTTGTTTTTATCACTTACTAAAAACATCGTTACAAAACACAGGAATGTAAAGTTAAAAAATAACACAGGATTGTATTGTTAATTTATAAACAGTGAGTTTAAAGGAAGATATACAATTAGTTGAAACAGATCACTAACCTTGAAAAACACACAAAAACCAAATCAAGTACAACAATTTGGTTAGAAACTTAGAATTTATGCTAATTAAGTTTCAAATATTACGATCATGCTTTGGTAACATACCCACATATATATTATATATTTAAAATATATATTAAAATTAAAAGTAGCAAAAATTTTTTTTTTCAGAAACACCTTTGTTTACTAACCATTTCTTCATTAAATGGTTAACAATTTGAAATTGTGTTCAATGTAAATCATACTTACCGCCTAATTTTAATCATGTAAAGATATAAGTCGGGTTTGAAATCCGTGGTAAGTATATATCATCATATGGTTCAATTTACGTTATTCCCTAATTCACTAGTCAAAATTTCTCCCGAAGCTATCGATGCATTAAGTGCGAGCAATTAAATTATTGTCGACACAAAGTGGACTTACTGGACTTTGGTAGTAGTTAATTATTGTCGTCCGTACAGCCAGAAGCTTCTATAATCACACGTTGTTGTTATAATGATCGATGGCCACGTATTGCATACGTCATTAATTATACACCAGGATTGGGTTGTCCATTTTTCCCTGCACTAATTAGACAAAGAAGATAGACTTTGTAGGAATTGAAACAAAGAAAATGAGATGCTGATATATAAAACTGTTTTTTTTTTTGGAACACGTTACAAGTATAAACGAACAATGACATTAATGTACAACTTTCAAAGCAAAGGTATTTTATAAAGGAATGAAGAACAACTAAATTGAAATCAATTTAGTATATTTTAAGAAGTGCTAACACACACTTTTGTGAAATGCTCGTCTGCCATCTGGGATCGATGCCTGAATATAGATCATTAAAGTCAAATAAAATGAAGCCTTATCCAATCATGATTGGCACATAATATATAGTATTGATTAACAGTTTTCTTATAAGAAAAGCTATTTTTTTATATATATCAAAATCTTATTTTCAAAACCTTTATAAGAAACAACAATTTAATTTCTTCTAACGCAAAGTCTATAACCAATTTAGTCATACATGGACATAAAGTTCCAGCCGTCCATAGGGAATAACATCCGGATAAAGTCAATTTCAAAAGTTAAGATAAGAACCTCGAAAGTGTATAAGTGTCCTTTGCAGGCATAGCATACGCTTTCTTATGTTTTCACACTTGATGTAAAGCAATGTGAGTATGTGACATTGAGTTTGTTAAAATGTCTAGTGCGTTGCAACTATTACAGGAATTAGTAATGAAGTAATGAAGTACTGGTGTATTGTGGTGAATTATTATGTGGCTTTAGACCAAGTTCAACTTACTCTACAGTACACATATATCTTTTCATTTTCCAACTGACAGTGATTGTAGATTCCCCAGATTAAACATGAGTTTTAACTTGTGTTACATAATGTAGTTTTTCTGTAAATTTTAAATAATAACATTGATCTACATGTAAGATGAAAATATGTGCAGTTACAAGAAAAAAATGAAATATGTGATTAACTGATTATAGAAGCTGCCCTTCCAACAAAGTACGTGTGTAGGATAAAAGAATCAAGCATTATATAATTTAAAGATGCCAAACAATTTGGAGCCCGAATTTATAAAAGCTCACTAAAAGCCCAACAAAACAGATGTACAGGCCTTATAAGATTACATCAATTTACACATTGGAAATGTTTTTAATGATTCTGTTTTTAGTCTTAAGTCCTTAGATTCTATAATATCTTGGAAATTAGAAGTTTTAGAAACCGTCCAATTCCTGAATCAGGTGATACTGAAATATTGCAAATACAAGTAATATGACAAGGTCATAACATTGATTTATAATTTTACATCAAACATTTAAATCACCAGATTAAAGAAAAACAATGAATCTCAAAAACCTCAGTAATTAAGGTGAGAGTTTACTGTATGATCTTTTTTTTTTTGTCAAAGTGGAGATATATTGTATGGTATATCATAAATACTAAATCTTGTTGGTCAAAGTTAATAATTTCCAATCTTAAATCCATCACAGTAAAACTATTATAATATAATCTCTTTAAATTAATACTTTCTAAATTAATATACACTATTTTTTATTAAATAATATAATTTTATAATCCAAATTAAATTTTTGGTTCAATTAGTATATCGATAAATTAAATTAATAATTTATAAATTAATAAGAATTATAGTTTTGGCATAGTTTCAATATTATTAATTTATAGAGGTTTCACTGTATTATATTAAACATGAACATGGTAATGCATTTAAAAAAATAAAACTTAACATGGTATTTGAACTTGTGTTTAATATATTTTTTAAAAAGGAACATGGTAATACATCTTTCTTTAAATAAATCAGAATAATGTTAAAATTACATTTTCTTTGCCTATTTGCATACTGAACCAATATGCAATCAACTGAAACTTAAGTAA